GTGATGAATATTCTTTCATTAAACCCCTGAAGAGTGAAGCGATTCACGAAACAGGCTTGTCGGGAAATGTAGTTACGTCCTTTTTTCCTCTCGTAATATTTATTCTGCTCTGCTTTAACGTATTGAGCACTGTTCCACGCGAAAATCGACTTACAGACTTCCTATATATATATATATATATATATATATATATGTTTAGAATTGTCCAGAATGCGTGGTCACGCTGACTTGCATGCATGAACTTTCTATGAAAGTTCTTAGAACTTTTTTTGTCAGGTTTTGTTTAATGATGGAAAACTGAGTGATGTAGTGAGCTTTCGGAATGTTCTGGGATACTTTGTAAATGTATACAAGGACTCATTCGCGTAGTAAGGGTTAGTTGTTGTTGTCGGGAGTGACCGACTGTTTGAACAGCTATCCAAGGCAGACTCACGACTCCACGTCGGGAAGCCGCGACCTACTTCACTTCAAACTAAAATAAATGCAAAAATAACGAGGATCTCACCAATCTGGCCATAACTGCTCATCAATTAGCACTATTCCTTCATTACGTTCTGAGAAAACTTTCGAGAAACTGAAAATAAGGCTTTTTTGATATGATCTGTGCCAACCGCTGGGACTAAATTAAGGATTTCGAGAAATGGGCTAGTTTCAAATTCTTGACCAATCAGCGCTTGATTGTTGTGGACTAAAGTGGTACGCGAGAGTGAGGTTTTTCAATTTTTTGATTGTTGTTCCCATTCTCATGTGATCATATTTATCTGCCGCCATGTTATTTTCATGAGGTCGTATAATCTGATTGTATGGTCGAGTGCAGTCCTGAGAAGGACTAGTACTGTTGTCAGTAGTAGTGACTGACGTTTCGACAACCTGAGCGGAATTCATCAGCAGTGTCAAGTAAAAAGCTGTTGTTTGCGTTAGCTAAACCATTTTCCTACCGGCGAGTTCGTCTTTTACAGCGGCCATTCCTTTATTTTTTATCGTCTTCTTTTGTTTTTATTCCTCAGACAACCATGTACAACATTTATGTTTCTAACAAGTCTGGAGTTAACGTCTTTGTTCGTCTTCATCGCCAACAAATTTCGGATTTGAACGGAAATTTCCATCGGGAGTTAGACCAGCTGACTGCAAGAGCAGAGGACCCCAGAGGGAATACAGATAGTACACAGAGCAAACCCAAAGTCAGTTCATTCTTAGCGCGATGGGGATTCTGCATGATTCCAAAGGGGGCGACGACACCTTTTGCAGTGGAGGATACGATCGATACCACCCGTATGTATGCATCGCTGTATTCCAGTAGAAGATTATGGCTTATCGACTATGAAGTACTCTCTGTTAAATATGGATGCGTAGATGTGATGTCACATAAAGAAAATCCAAGAAGTACACATGCATGGCCGCCCGCCAGCAGGGATTCATTCACTCAAGACCCAGTGCCAGTTTACTTTCGTCAGACTAATCCTGAACCACACTGGATCAAACGCAAAAAAGGAGATTGTGTAAAGTCTGAAAACCTTATCAGAACGGGTAGAGGTAATGGTTGTTTTGGCCGTTTATCTTTTGATCACGCACCGTGCAGAGTTACGTATATTCGTCAAGATGAAGAACGAGAGATGGACACGTGGGAAGCATTTGATGGTAGGAAAGAACAACTCGGCGAACTGCTGATGGATACTGGTCATGAATTTTTCCGAGCTAAGATTGGCGATCGGATGCCTCCTCATGCCGTGACAGTAGGTGTGAATGACAATGGTGAACTCAAGTACCTTGGAAGAATTGGAGATGGCATCCCTTGTTCAGTTACCGCCGAAGACGACAAAGTGGGATATTTTGATTACTTTTCAGGAGAGCAAAAACGGGCTGAAAGAGGCGAAATAATGGTATTGACTGGACGTCGATTACAAAAAAATCCTTGAGTCGTGATGTATTTAATGCGATTTTCTCGAACATCAATTTTGTTTTAGCTTTTTCTGAAAAATATACATAAGATTACGTTAAAGTCGCATATTCTGCCAGCGTGAAGTCACCATGTCTACCAGTCAATCATCTAGGCCCATAAATTATGATCTGAATATGAGGTACCCTTAGATGAGATCCCAGGTGAAACTTGTCTGAAGGAAATGACGGAAAGGAATTTCAAAACTTCAACTTTTACTTTCGTCAACGTTACTTCTAATTACGATGTAGCTTAGGGAGTTTATTGTACGTTTACCAGTTGTTGCAACATTTGTTGTTTTCCCACTGGCTAGCAAGAAAGTGTGCAAAGATTACTTTCCCGAGAGAATAGAGAAAAATCACAAATGAGATTATAATAACAAGTCATATCTATCTTTAAGTGGTTTCGTTGCTTACTGTAGGACCTTAAGTCGCCATATGTTTGAGTTACAGAATCCCTTGCAATAAACACAATAGTCATTTTGATTACTTTTGTATCCACATAAGTCACCATTGTCTGAGGCATCCTTATTTCAAACCATTTTTGCTAAAAATGCTTGGACAGATGTACCACAACAATTATTTTCTAATTATATTGTCGAGGCTAGTGAATGAAAAGCCAGGAAAAATCATGGGTTTTATGCCTAAAAAAATAACCTATAAAAAATATGCACATAGTGACATAAATTTTAAAGTTTAGAAAAGAGCCATGATTTACATAAAACTATACAACCGTAACTACCTGTACAACGGGGTACCATAGAACATACAAAAGATGAGGGACTGGCCCTAAACATTTGGGGTAACAGTCCGTCAGGCTCTGTCAGACAGGAAATAACAATGGCGAGAGCTGTACCTCCTCCGTGCTGTACCTCCTCCGTGCTGTGCCTCCTCCGTGCTGTGCCTCCTCCGTGCTGTGCCTCCTCCGTGCTGTGCCTCCTCCGTGCTGTGCCTCCTCCGTGCTGTGCCTCCTCCGTGCTGTGCCTCCTCCGTGCTGTGCCTCCTCCGTGTTGTGCCTCCTCCGTGCTGTGCCTCCTTCGTGCTGTACCTCCTCCTTCGTACCTCCATCAGAGAGAAATTCAACCGGGTGAACCGATCAGCCCCAAGCCCTCTGAGGAAGATTAGAAATACGATTCCCCAAGCAGTAATTGAAAACGGATGAGTCATTTCAGGAATACAAGACTGCATGCGATGGAAAGTTACGCCTGAAAACTTTAGTCGAGATCGCGGAATTGCAAAAACCTGATTCGTCTACAAAAAGAATGCACGCGTTCCTCCTTATTCTACGAGGTTGTCTTCTTTGCGGTATTGATTGCAATCCTTTTCTTTCTGCAATCGGGAAAACAAAGACGTTAAGGTTTCTTTAACTTGTTTAGATGCTTGAAAAGGCCACATAACCATGTTCTTGTTACTTGTGATTACCTTGCGTATCTCACGCTCTACCAAAACATATTTGAGATGTTACCGTATCTGTCATGCTCAAACGCAAAATGTAACTGAATATGACCGAAAACAAAATATTTGTTTGTTTAAAGAGAGAAGTTCAATCCCGATTGAGAATGAAATATTTTTGTTTTTTTATTATTATTTTTCATTTTTTTTTTATATCTTTTAATGACGATACGATACCCGTCGCAATCCAGAGAATAATATACGTTGTTTGCTTGACCAGCAAGAAACAATATATTTCACCGACTATATAATAAAACTGCAAAACTATTCATCCAAAGTCTTGGTTTTATCAGTTATTGCCATTTTCAACTGACTCCTCCTCAGTCTTGATTCTCTTTTTCTCCATGCGCGGTCGTGAGGTCGCGGGGGACTAGCTTCATCACCTAGGGGAAGAGAAACGATTGGAGAGGAGTACGTAAATATTTCATAACAATTCCCTTCAATAGTTTATTCCATTGCCTTCAGGAACTTTGTTCAAATTTGTCCATTGCTTCCAAACGAGTAGCCGTTTTGGTTTGAATTCTCTTTGAATAGAAGCGTTCTCTTAAGCGTAAGTTGTCATGGTTTATTTCATTAATATCCTTCAAGCTCGAAATCTACTTCGGTGTATGTGTTTTATGGTGCCATACCCGCTAATTCGCAAAAGTAGAAAAGGAATTGGAAGATGACAGTATATGCAAATAACATGTAAACTTGTAAGTTAAAACTGTTTCGTTCATTTCTTGGTAGAAAAAAAATTAAAGCATGTCTTTAGATGAAAGGAGAAAGTGCGAATAGACAATGATGCTTTTCACTGCATGAAATCAAACTTAACCTACAAAAAAAATTTAGTTTTTGTTTGCGTTGGAGAATAGCGCGAGAATTTTACTTGTGGTATGGAAGGAAATCGTTTCTGGGCGGTTAGAATTACTTCTTAAGGAAGCTTTAAATACCCTTGAAGTTTGTTCTTGCCTTAAACCATTTTAAGCATTGTCAAATTTACGGCCTTTTTTTTTTGTTTTTAGAAAAGGAACAAACTTATCTAAATCATTTTAATTGTACTGAAACTAGGAAAGCACCCAAGAGAAACAAGGGTTTTCATCGAAAAGTGTAATACGAATACAGTCAGGAGGCTAACCCTCTGATCAATATCTTCTTAGGTACAATTGTTTAAATAAAGATAAGACTCTCCAGTTCCACAAGTCAGCTGTTTGTCCTTTGAATTCATGCACAATGCTGAGACAGTATTTTTTTTCGTAAATGATTGAATAGAAGAAGAAGATCTAAACACATTTGTAGAAGTTTGTAGCTTACATATTTATAGATTTTGTAAGATCGAATTTTTGAATTTACTTATGGGATGGTTTATAAAGCCGTTGAGTGGAAAGGAAGCAAACCCTCGCAACCGTTCTTTGGATGATTAGTGACATCTCGGAAAGAGCGGCAGCTGGCGAGACTAGGGAAAACGGTGCTCATGAAAACTCACCAATATTTTTTTTTAAACAAAATTATTTTCTCCTTCGATTCCGCAGAGCACCATGTACCGCATTTATGTTACTAACAGGTCTGACTTCACCGTGTATGTTCGCCTACAAAAACAACCGGCATGTCCTCTTTAAACGAAAATTCTATGGTTCTTGGATTATGAAGTGCTTTCATTCAATTATGGATGCGTATTTGTTAACTCACAACATAAAAAAATCGAGTAGATATAGTGGTAAATCCTCTGGTTTGAGGTCTACAACAAGGGCACCACTCTATCTGTGTCAGATTAACCCTGAACCACGGTGGATCCCAAAAAGGAAGGGAGATATCATCTCGAATAAAGAACCCATTAGCACTGGGGAGTTGGCGCTTATTTTGGTCGTTTACCCGTCAGTCATGTTGGTGGGGGCATAGCATGCAAAGTCCCTACCAAACCCGAAAATATTTTTGAGTCTCAGTTGAACGTTTGGGAAGCAGTCGATGGCAAACAAAAAGAAGTCGGAGAACTGCTGCTGGATACTGGCCATGAACTTTGTTGGAGCTAAGAGTGGCAATCAGATGCCTCCTCATGCTGTAATAGTCGGCGTAGACGACAATGGTGGACCAGCGTACCCTGGAAGAGTTGGAGGTGACATCGCTTATTCAGTCACATCCGACGACGACAAAGTGAGGGGCTTCTATTATTTTTCAGGAGAAGAAAAAGAGGCTGAAAGAGGCGAGATAGTGGTATTGACTGGACATCAAAGGTGAACTAAGAGTAAGACACATGAGATGTTACGACTTATTGAGCCTCGGATGTCCATATCTTATTTGTTGAATACTTCTACGCGGATGCGTGGCGTTTCCATTCCCTCTTTCAACAGTCAAGGCGGTTTTCGATCTTTAATTGTTGTACACTTTTTCTTTAAACGTACTGGTCAGAAAATTTTGATAACGCTCAGTTCAATCGACCGGCCCCATCGTCTTCATTTCTTTAAACTTGTCCTATTTACTTAGTAGGAGGGAAAAATTCAAAACCGGAAACAAATTACAAAGCGGAATTTATTGTGACATGATAACCACTGCTTTCGGTTAAAAATTCGATCGTCATAAAATTCCGTCTCTATTATTGAGTGATGGTAAATGGCAGATGTACGTAGTTTCTTCGTGTCTATGGTTCCACTAGAACCCTTTTGTCATATCTGACTTAACGAGTATTACATATTTTAAGTGATCATTAATGAGGGGTTCTCAATGGGGTTAATTTCAGTGCAAGTCTCTACTTTTAAAAATTTTATTGGAAGAAAAAATATAGCAATATTTTGGCTACGTGTTCATTTGAAGAGTCATGTTATTTTTGACGTAAGAGTTACCCAGCTGATACATGCCAAGCGCCTGATATCAACCGAATATAGGGTCCGCAATTTATATTAGTTGTCTAAGCAATATCCTAAAGCGATATTGCTGCCAAAAGTCGCTTCACGCTCGACTGTTGTTAGGATGAAAAAGAAGTTTCTTGTTCTTCTGCTTTGTTTGTCTTTTGTTCGCTGTGAATCACGCAGAGTAACGGATTATGGGGATTACTTAATACAAGATTACGGTAAGTAAAACAGTTTGAACATCCTGCGACAATTATTCCTTCATTTTTGGTTCAAGTGAAAGAATGCCAATCGACATGTTTATTGGGTTTTGTGTTAGGACGCGGTTGAATTAGAAAGAGATTTCCTAACACTTCTTAGATCTCCCAGCTAAATATGTGGATCTTTTATAATCATTTCTTATCAAACAAAATAAGAAACGACCGGGAAGAAAGGCTTCCAGCAGTAACTTTCAAATAATTATGCCTAATCTTGTGATTAAAGTAATGAAGCAATATTTTGAAGGAACCCAGTTCAACAAGATTTCAATTACTTGCCGATGCCGTGTAAAAATACTTCATTCTCGTTTTATTTTCATTGCTAGTATCTTCCCAACAACTATTATTATTCCCTAATTGGCCTTGCTATAACAATGTTTTATCGAAGAATAAATATTTGATTTTCATTTTTATTATCTTAAATTCGGAAATTTGAAAACAAATGACATAGATCGGCTATTGTTTAATAACACTATCGTCAGCTGTGTAAGAAATTTCCGCTTTTAATCACCATTTATATATATTCCAGCTTTTGGCATCAAAGAAAAATTTATTTCCAGAAAATATGAGTTTTCCAAGTTCGAATTGATCCCAGTATAAATCTTAAATAGGCTAGGATAATTCAACTCAATCTAAAGTAAATATTTTTCTTATTACATATTAAAGGCGATATATAGTTTGCCTTTATATTACAAAATCACTACAGCTAGAAGATCACTAAACGAAACGCCGTTTTGACCTCGTAAAGGATCATTTTTTAGCATCCGCACTGTTAATTCTGAGGGGCGATGTAGTCGAGGAAGGCCGTGGACTCGGCTTGAGTAAGGGTTTTCGTCCTTGCATATTGTTGATAAGCTGCTATTCGACACCAAATCTGCCACCGGGCAGAAATTCGATTTGTTGAAGTCAATGATCGTACACCTCCCACGACTTTTTCTATTAACAGGCCAGAGCTCTTAAAAGCTGGTTTCTTTGCTAAAATGGTAGCTCTTTAAACAGAAAGTACTCCCTCAGAAACATATAACAGACTTTTCCTCATTATTCCAAAACTTTCGAGGGAGGTCAATTTACTTGTCACTAATAATTGTCCTTCGAGGCCACCACGAATTCCTTTATAAGTCTACTCAGAAATTAATCCATAGATAACTTTATGTAGCCCTGGGGCCCCTAGCCTGTTCCCGTAATATACGCTACAGCTGGGGAATAAAGTTAATGCAACTGACCACTGAATTATCAATTACCCTCCGCAGTGTTTATTTTTTGTTCAACTAGCCTTGTTCACGCTTACGTTTATCTTTGACACTAGTTTTGGAGCACCAGTTATAGCCTTGACGTAGAGAAAGCTATTTCGAAGGCATCGTCCTTGATATTTAGTTTACATCGGCCTTCGTGCATTGATCTACTGTTACAAAAAGTAGTGACATATAAATTAAAATACATTCAAGTCAAATTTCTTAGTCGCGAAATTGACCCGAGTATTCATGCTTAGGACATTGCCTTCCGAGAGGTTTAATGCCACAGGGAATGTCGATCATGTCGCTTTTCAGACACACAAAGTAGACTAAAGATGACTCGAGGACTTCACGATAGCCGGTAACCGGAATTCGCCTCGGTGGCTTTTGTGGTGATCCACCACATATAACAGATCTGCGCCGGTAGTCTATTTATAAAACTGTGGCAATAACAGATAAGACCGTGAGCAGGCTGACTCTTAAAATAGTTTCCATTAGGAACGTTCTTGTATGTTTACTTCTTGTTAGATTAATTGAGTAAACAGTGGAAGACTGTTACTGTGGCTGTTTTTTGTTTTTTATTTTGCTTTTTTTTTTTTTTTTTAAATTTAACAGTCACTGTATTAACATTGATTGCCTGTTTTTCTTCACAGTTGATATTGATGCCAGCATCCCAAGGGCAGAGGAGAACTCAGGTGAGATATTTTGATATTGGTTAAGAATAGATCTTCTCCAGCATTTTAAATTGTTTTAATTACTTTCTTTTGAACGAACCGTTCGTATTTGATCGATTAATCAAGGAGAAACGGTTCTCGTGAAGAAACCAGAGCTACAGGAAGAAAACGATTCGTGTGCATATGCAATGAAGGCAATAAGTAGCTGGAGTTTAAGTGCATTGCATGAATCTCTCTGTTACTGGGATGATGCTAAAAAAAAGAAAAAAAGAGGCAAGCACACTTAACTACGCGAATGTGACTATAAAGGAAGAAAAAAATACCTAAAGGGGCAGGCTTTAGCCTGACTTCCGACCTTGGTGAGTCGGGGAAACACATCTTGGAGGTCTTATTATCCCTCTGCATAGGTTGAACCTCGATATAATCATTCTTTGTAAATTTCAAATAGAAATTCTAATACTGGTCCATTAATATTAAAGCAAAGATAATCTAAATTTAGCACACAATGGACTACGTATTTAAGGCAGAGTTCCAACAGCACACAGTTTTCTGCTGAAAATAAGAAAAAATCTTATTCCATCCTCAGCTTTCCCCGCGTTCTCCCAGCATTCTGCGTGGCTTTATCACATTATAGAGCTTAATAGATTACAGGTGACGTCAAAGTGTGGTAAGAACGAAAACGAGACGAAACAGTCGCAGCCAAGTGTGTCACGATGTTCTTACCACATTTGATGTACAGACCCATTGCAACATGGAACATACTTGTTTAATATGATAAAGAAGCAAAAATAAAGGAAAACAGTGCAAAGGTGACGTCCTGTATCTGCGGCCTGTCCTCTAGTAGATCATAAGTGAGAACCAATCAAAATGCTTGTACAATTCAGCTTACTGACATAAACATTTTATCACGAAACCCGCGTATCTCCACTAAAACGGGACCGAAGCTCTGCGTAACGTCGCGTTAGTTTTCTGACGAGATTGACGGGAGATAAAAATAATAACTGCTAATGTGGGATAAATTGGCCACAATAGTGACGCTTTTATTTCACCCGACATCAAGAACATTGATATAATAAACATCACACAATCTCTTAAGCAAATGCGGGGTTAAATATCGGCAGAGAGCCAAATACGTATAAAAAGGCAACAAACGCCTGAGGAGAAGGCCGGAGCATGGGGAGGGGGCGGGTAAAATTCTTCTAGAGTACGGAAAATCTGTGTTCGGATGTTAACAGGATGGAAATGAAGGCGAGAAGGACTAGGAGAGAAACTGACCTTGCCTATAGCTATAACCTTGCTGCTATTTGATCTGACCTCATTTGATTGGCTTAAGATTTGTGATTGACAACGCTCCTTGCCCCATGCAAAGGCACACCTAAATACTTAACTCTATATATGACGGGCCTCGAGGTAAAATCACATTACGCTTTTTTCTTAATGTTGGCCTTTTTGTTATGGGATATCATTTTGTCATTCTATCGCAGGTTGAAGTAGCTATTGTATGACCTGAGTTTACTAACGGGGATCTTTACATCTTTTTTATGCGACTTAGCCAAGCATACCACACCATACACTGCGCAATAGATCATGCAGTTGATACGAAGCATACCTTTGTGGACGAATCTTAAGGAAATAATGTGTGGACTGAGTTAATACAACTTTTCAAACTTTGTAGGTCTGTTTGAAGGTGATATTCTCATCGATGAGGATACTGAAAGATATCTGACGGGTGGAGAGATCATGTCACGTGACGCTGTAGTCACCCCTATATTATATTGGCCAAGAGGGGTGATCTATTACATGTTTGATGAAAAATTAGGTTGGTTAATAAATTTTCTCCTTTAAATAGAAATTTAATTATAATACCAGGCTTCCAGCATTGACACCTCACCTTACTTTGTTGTTGCTATTTATATTTCTGTTGCTGTTGTCGTTTTACCATAATTCCATATTTAAGATTATCTAAAAACCGGATATTGCCGCACAACATTACACTACAGAGTAAGTTTGTGTTGTAGTTCCTACAACCGTAGTTGTTATTATTGTTGGTGATAATGCTGTTGTTGATGAAGATGATGTATGTTGCTGCTTAAGCTTGTTATGATCGCCGGTGTTTCATTCCTGTAAGGAGAAAGATTCTAAGAAAATAGATAAAAAGATAAAAAAAAAAAAAAATGAACATTCTTTAAAAGGCTGACCTATTTTTCAACTTTTTCCCCGGCCCCAGAGCCTCTCAAGATCGATGTCATCAAACGTGGTATCCACCATCTAAAGGAAAGGACATGCATCAAATTTGTTCAAATTCCGAAGAATGAAACGTTTCATAAAAGCTATGTCAGGTTCTTCAGTGGAAACGGGTATGTCATCACTTACTTGAGCAGCAAAAGCCAGAAGCCATTCTCTCTCATCTTTCACGATATTACAGTTGTTAATAACTTTACAATCGAGTATATCCTGCTTTAATTAAAACCGCAGAGCGTGCTTTTTTTGATGGTGTCAGATGACACACACGAACCAAATATTTCGTTGAAACAGTAAACATTTTTTTTCTCTTTTCACAAGATGTTATTCCAGAATCGGCAAGGACCCCTCTAACGTTGAACAAACGATTTCTATCGGTGATGGATGCGAGAGGATCGGAACAGTGGTGCACGAGATCATGCATGCTTTGGGATTTTTCCATGAGCACACCAGGCCCGACAGGGACAAGTATATCAAAATTGATTGGACAAATATCCAGGAAGGTAGGGATAAAGATGATGCATCTCGTGCCTACATCGAACTGACCTGGAGGGTTGTAGGTATAACGAGTCACATCAAACATCACCAAGGAACGGATGGGAAGTTCTAATTTTCTCTAGTCTCATCCATAGCATCAAATTCTCGACTACTCTGATTGAAATGTTGTGAGGGACATCGGAAGAAAATTGTTCATTTTTAACACTGAGTCTGGTTGGATCTTTGTGACGTTGACGCTAAGTGCCGTTTGTGGTAAACCTAATACTATTTTTTTATTGTTATTTTCTTTTAAAATGTGGGATGACGAAACGTGCCTTTTATCTTTCCATTTCTAGAGCATTCTCGAAACTTCCAAAAATACCCTCGAGATCTTGGATCTAGCTTTGGTAAACCATACGACTACGACAGCGTAATGCATTACAGTAGGTTCGCCTTCTCCAAGGACTTGGATGTCCCTACCATTATACCTGCAGATGGAAAGGCTTCAATTGGTCAGCGACTGGGCCTGAGTTATTTTGATAGAGAAGAAATCAACAAGTTATACAAGTGCCATGGTGAGTGACACTGGTCTTCTTAGCGTGTCATACACTTCTGGCTTAACTTCAGAAACGAGGAAAAAAAACGATGAAGGCTATGGACGTTCAAGTATGTTCCTGAGCAAAAGAAGCGATCGAGCATACAAGCATATAACAAAAAAAAATTGTTATCTGTCTGTCTGTCTGTCTGTCTGTCTTTCCTTATGTATATCTCAATTTTTCTCCATCTACTCCACGTTGGGTTTTTAACATACCCATGTATTTTAATATCTTGCTTTTGGATTTCCTTATCATTGTAATCATTACTATCGTTATCGTTATCATTAACATTACCAACATCATCATCATTATCATTGTCATTATTACTTTTCGTATCATCATATTCATCTTAAAATAATATCATTATCACTCTTGTCATTATCAGCATCATTCATTAGACAAGGAAAACATGTATATCTGTTCTTTTTCAGAGGATTGCGTTGACAAGATAAGCCCATACAGGTGCATAGGTCTCAGCATACTGGGTAGCTGTGACAGTCCCAGATTCCAAGAAATGATGATTGAATCTTGTCCCAAAACCTGCAAATTTTGCGGTGAGAATATTCCATCTTATAGATGTAAATATATCTTTCTGTATGCAGCATCATTAGAGTGTTGAAGGCTGAAATCGATTATCTTGCTAAGAAAATGTTAAGCTTGCATCGAACCTGAGGAAAAGAGGTCAATTATTCTTTGAGGCTTACATCGGTTTCAAAGGATATGTGGTAAAAACAGGATTCGTAATACAATTTTTCATAAATCATAGCGGATGTGCAGATTTTGTAGAGTTCAGCCTATCATATTCAGTTTCTGTTATTCCAAAATGTGATTTGAAGTAACGGGCTAGCAGGGACACCAACAATACCAACAACAATATCACCGAATGCATACTACGCATTATGGAAACAAAATACAGAGTTTTCGAAGCTAGAATTGTGTGAAATATTATTACATCACCGAATGCAGTCGAACACACCCTATATTAACAATTTTTAACTAAAGATGTTTATCTAAGTACAATTTCCTATTGTTTTGTTTGTTTTTATTCCATGCTTTAGTTTAGTTGGTTTGATCTGCCTGCTGCTGCTAGTTCGTTAGTTTGTTTTGTAAATCTCTTTTGCTTTTCCTCCATTGATCTTTGTAGTTGCTGACCTTGGCTTTTATCTGTAATCAGGTGCGAGTTGGCACCAATTCAACCAGCTGCACTTTTGTCATTCCGCCTTATTATTTGTTGCTGTTTTTTTCACCTTTTCGTTTCCGTTCTAAGAAACAAGCTGATATTATTACCACAGCCTTTTCCTGAATTTATTTTTAATTCGTAGGCGAAAGATAAAATCACCCATACACATTCCAAAACAGTTACACTATGTTTCGATTATCTTTCTCCAGGAAAGAGGGACTCGACGATCACAGACGCGAACAAGGCCCGATCAGAATCAAGAAAAACGTCTTAAAAAAGAATCCGACTGATATATTTTTTTCACCAGAATTACTTAATCATTGAGGAAAGTCTATATTTTACTGTTACTTTCGTAATAAAAGATCTGCATGGTTACAAGTGAGCCTTCCGTGTTAATTTTTTGGGAGAGTTTTTTTTCCCTCCTTTTGTAGGATGAGGAGAGGGTGGTGATTCTGCTCAGTGTACAGTGGGAGAGAGTTGGGTTAATGTAATGAGTTGTATCAACATTATCAAGAGATTATTATATGGCTGTGTCTACCAAGGACTGGGAACTACCGAATTCACGAATTTGATTGGCTGAAATCAATATTGAAAGCGGTCTAGATTTTCCCATCTAGGCCGGCATCTAGACCGGTCTAGAAAAAAAAAAGGTACAAAGAATATAAAAAAATTGGCATATAAGACACAGCCATATTATAAATATCTTATTAACCGAGCTAGGTCGGTCTGTACGGGAGAATCTTGACCTCGGTCGCTGGTACAGACCTCACTGCGTTCGGTCTGTACTGGCGACCTCGGTCAAGATTCTCCCATACAGACCTCCCGCTAAGTTAATTAGAACTAATTGTTTTCAAGCTAACTCATTGATCATTTCCTTGGGGATGATCAAACCACAGATACTGAGCCTAATAGAAATATACTCTTTGGAAAAGGGCTGGAAAATCTATTTACAAGCTAACGAAGCGAAAAAAGAAAGGAACATTATACTACAAGACATATGTACACACTTTTTAATCTATCTGTTTTTAACAATGATAATGAAATCCGCATGAAACTGGCCTCCTTTTAGCCCCTCGGTGAAGCATTCTTAAATTCCCTTGCAAAACTTGCTGCAAGATAATCAAAAATAAAAAAGATATACAAGTTTCATAAATGGGTAAGAATCAAACTGATCAATCACAGTGACTGAATAATTCATTCAAAAGGAAACTAAGGGGATCTTTGTCTTTTGACAAAAGACTCAAAATCTTAAATCTATTTTCATATCATATCCCGGTTTCTAGCTCTCTTGCTTGTACCAACGCGTTTTATTTTCTGAGCACTCTTTCTATTCTGGTAAAGAAGATAAATAGAAACAATCGGAATAAAGTCATTACCTTAAAACACGGGCTACGCTAGTATATAAATGATTGTTTCCATTAATGGTAGCGACCTACAAGACATTAAACGGTTTGTGCTAAGAATTAGAACATTTATGTGAAAGGAAAGAATGGAAATGAATTCATACCCTGCAAAGTTAATACATAGAGCTCTTAAAATATATATTCATTGATTTCGTAGACATGTTTTGGCCTAGTTTAGGTGAGCTGGCAGTCGTCGTTGACTGTATAAAGATAAAAGTGGTTTCCATTTTGGAATATGTTTTCATCCTGTGGTTTAGTTAAAGTGAAAGAGACAAATATCTTTCATGACTATTGTTTGTACACCCTTGAATGATCCTTAAAAAATGTTTGCTATTAGAATAGTGACGTCGAACCCTTAATTCTGGTTTTTCTTTTTTTTACTTATATTTGATATTTCTTTTCCAAAGCGTCTCAAAAATTAAAAATGACCGATCACGGTGATACTTACATGCACCACAGGATTTTCTACAATATTTGTAATATCGACCACATCTGTAGCTCATCACGACCCATCTGCAATAGCCGTGACTTCGAGTATTTCTGCAAACTGTAAAGTGAGACAAAGGAGTCACTTAAATGGATAAGAAACAAAAAGACAAACAGGACCTTTAGTAGAACAACAGGATAACACCTGCAACACCTTAGATAATTTATCTGCGGTTCTCAGGTAAACACAACCAGTTTAAAGGCCAAGAAAACAGACAAATATACATTTTTTATTCCGTTAAAGGAAAAGTAGGTTATAAAGGTAGCCTCCAAAGACTGCTGTCTCTTGTAGGAAAGGAAGCTTGCAGTCTCCCTCCCTCTTGTTAAAAATAAGAAAAGACATAATCATGCAAGGCATCAAAGCGTTTGAGAAAACTTCTCGTCAATCTCTAAGCCGTCGACAATTGCTCTTTCTCATGAATCTTTCGTTGATTAGTAAGCAATGACAAAATAAGTCTCACCTTTTCGACAAGGAACCTTTCCCCCGCATTTCCTCGTCTGTTTGGAGTATCCTCGACATGAAGAACGACCATATGCATAATACGCATGAGGGCTGGAGCACGTGCGATATCTTGTTTGCGTGCCTCCCGACCCACACGTGCGACTACATTTGCTATAAGGACCCCAGTTAGACCATCCACTCGCAGCTGCAATTACAAGAATTAAATGAAAATAATAAAAAAGAAAAAAAATGCGAGAGACGCATTATACATGTAAGGTCAGTGGAGCCCAAGAGGTAGTGCTTCATCATGAGAAGACACACAGGGCTTGCACTGTAAGTATCCCGGAGAGTTTCATTCAGTTCTTTACAATATTATTATAAGGAATTCTATGGAGCTTTTTTAGCGTTAGTTGCGGCGTGCGGCTGTTTTAGCGTATGATCCTTGCGAGGATCATATGCGACAACACCAACCCGCCTCGACTAATGCTAAAAAAGCTTCATAGAATTCGTTATAATAAAATTATAAAGAATTCTAATAATTGTTTTATAATTAGCAGTGTTGTAAAACGGACATTGTATCATTGCCTTGAAACTGTGTGTGAAAAACAAATGCAAGGGATGCGTTTTGCTTTTCTTGTATTTTTTATTCTTATCATTATATCGCATCTTGTCAGCCAATCTCACCTTTACAAGAACGTAAATTACAGCTTCTCTTTCGTCTGCTTGGTCCTCTACAGTTTTTACCACCGTTTGCTGGTGGTGGATTGTTACACTTTCGGGTTCTGTATTGATATCCTCCTCCACACGACCTGCTGCATTTACCGTATCCGCTCCATGGGGACCAATGACCGTCAACTATACAAATCAAAGATATGATAAATAATTTATACCATATTTTAGTGGAAGCAACTCGTTACACATCTAGAACTTGACAAAAACTCCCAAAAACAATTGTCAAAACTAGGTCATCGGCTTGCTTCGTGCAAATTTTTCTACACGTACAGTTGGAAACCTGCAACTTGTCTCACATTATTCAGCAGGAAATGCAGGGCACAAAACGGAATGCAAATGTTTCTTTCTTATCATTTAATGAAAGTTTCGACGAAACAAATAATTTTGGACGAAAAGACTTGTTTTGAACGTAGTCTTTCCCCAGCCATCATTGTTTCATCTATTCATCTATTTCTGTTCCTGCCAGTTGATACTTGTACTTTTCGCACATATTGTTTACATTACAGGCTAAGAGGTTTCTCTACCTTTACAAGGACGTGAATTACAGCGTCGCGATCTTCGGCTCGGTCCTCTACATCGTGCTCCACCGTTTGCTGGAGGCGGATCGTTGCACTTGCGGGTTCTGTATTGATAACCTCCACCGCAAGACTTGCTGCATTTACCATACCTACCCCAAGAGGACCAGTGACCGTCAACTAAACAGAGTGAAGAAAAAACAATGAAACTAAAGTTAATGCTAAGAAAGGTGGAACACTTCAGTCAGGGTGTCCAATTGTCGCGGAAATATTTTTCCTAAATTTATTTGAAGCAAGTCCCTACTTATGCCGCTTTAAATTTACAGCTCTTCTAACTCACTTATTAGAAATCGCTGACTTCATGTTAGGGACGCAATTTGGCAGTATTTATGCACAACTGCTGTGAAACGGTGAAAGCTTTCAAAGTGTGCTTAACAGGGTTTCATCTCGTATCTCCCGTTTATTAATTGCACTATTTTTTTTTCCTTTTTAGTGTTACAATGCCAGGGCGTCGTCATTCCATCAAGCAGCCGTGACCAACCTTTGCAAGGACGTGAATTACATTTTCTTGTTTGTCGGCTCGGCCCTCTACAGCCTGCTCCACCGTTTGTCGGAGGGGGATTGTTGCAGTTCCGGTTCCTGTGTTGATAACCTCCTCCACAAGATTTGCTGCATTTACCATATCTGCCCCAAGGGGACCAGTGACCGTCAACTAAGTATATTAAAGAAAACGTAAATAATAGTCACGTCAATAGGTACATTGATTTCCTGAAAAAAGCTTTGTGTATGTCATTTCAAGTCTGAAAATCTTCAAACTTACTCACTAACGATTACTAAGCCAATCTTAAGAACATAACTAAGCAGTAAACATGGGAAAACTGTGGTGAAAAAACGCGATAACTAAGGTGAAAGCTTTCAAAGTGGGCTTTAGAGGTTTCATGGTAAATCACCCGTTCATTAATTCCGCGCTTTGGTTATGCTTTTTACCCTTCAAGGCTGCTACCTACCTTTGCAAGGACGTGAATTACAGCTTCTTGTTTGTTTGTTCTGTCCTCTACAGCTTGCTCCACCGTTTTCTGGTGGTGGATTGCTGCACTTCCGGGTTCTGTGTTGTGAGCCTCCTCCACATGACTTGCTGCACCTTCTATATCTGCCCCAAGGGGACCAGTGACCGTCAACTAGAAACGTCAACAAGAGGACAAAGTATTTCTTTTTCACTCTTTATAAGATGTTGATATATCGATTATTTCGCATAGTAACCTATTCAAACATACGATAAAACGCACTGATTAACTCTTTGAGAGCCGAAGAAAAAACACAAAAAATTGACTGTATCAATGTTTTATTTCATATCTCCGCTGGTATTAACAGAAAAGAAGATTACTTTATCTCATTTGAAAGTGTATAAAATTGGGTTTTCAAGATTTTGAGGTTTCAAAGATCAGAATTTAGTAATAGCTAAAGGTCCTCTTTCCTTGACACTTAGCGGATCAAAGGTGAGTCAATTTACAAGAGGAGTAAAGAGCTGAAATTGGACATGTCGACAGACGTTTGTGGCATTTCTCGGCTGAAATAACAGCTCCTCGTCAACACTATTATTACTAATATACTTCTTTTGCGTTTCAGTTCTTACAACTTTGAAAAACTAACCTGGACAAGCCTGCACATTGCAGCCAATTGATTGGAAAGATGCTCCTGGACACTTCTTGCCTCCATTGGCCGGTGCAGGATGGTCACATTTCCGGCGTCTGTACCTAAACCCTCCTCCACAAGTTGCGGTACAACCTCCAAAGCTGCTCCAATGAGACCACTTACCATCCACTAGCAGAAAGAAAAGGAGATAGAAAAGAAAACAGACAAAATATGATATCATTAAAAAAAGGGTTTAGTAAGAAAAATAATACCCCAAAGTGCCACCGCAAGATCCAAAACAGTGGAAACGACAAGTTTAAAAATGCATTTGAGAGGGTCATGAACAATATATATTCGTTCGGCGGTTACCAGGGCACGCATTTGTGTTGCAATCCATTGCCTCCCGAGACGGTCCTGGACAGCTCTTTCCTCCATTGCTCGGCGGTGGACTGTTGCAACTGCGGGTTCTGTACTTCAGCCCACCGCCACACGTCTTTGAGCACTGTCCGAAAACACTCCATGGAGACCAGTTACCATCAACTAAAAAACATATGTTATTGCATGCAGTCATCCTAAAGTATTTCAAGGTTATTTCTTAAATCATTCCAGGTGCACTGGTTACATTCTCTCCAGGAAAACTACAGCTCATCAACTAGTCGCAAAAAAAGATGGGTATTTGATGCAAGTGTAACAGGTTGCCCCCGCTCTGCTTATGGGGTTGAAATATAATTTCTGATTGGTATCAAATTTTCTTTCTGCTCATTATTAACATGTGAGCATAATGACTTAAGACTAGAATTGAAAATGTGGTTCAACGTTAGGGGGAATACTTGCCGACTAATTATCAATATTTAGTATAATCTCAGAGCCGAGCAAAGAGTTTCCAGCAATCTGATTGGTCGAGCAGTTTCTTAAATGACGCTATATAAACGGATACATGCGGTTTATATAAAATGTTAGAATAAAATTTTAATAAATGGTTCTAAAATGTTATGATTTTAGAAATTTCTCTGTTGTTCAGCTCTGAAAATATACTAAAACAATTATTCGCCTCAGGTTCGGTGAATATTGTCGAATAATCCCCTCGACAATATCGACGAATAATCCCCTCGACAATATCGACGACTAATCGGCAATATCGACAATAATCGACAATATCGACAGTATCGACGAATAATCCCCTCGACATTATCGTCGAATAATCCACGTCTCGGGGATTATTCGACGATATTCACCTGGCCTTCGGCGAATAATTATTAATTATAACCAACTAAAAACATAAATAACTAAAAAGATGTTATTCACCTGCACATGCTCCAGCGTTGCAATGACGAGAAATTTTATAATGCCCTACACATCGCTTTCCACCATGTTGAGGTGCAGGCTTCTCGCATTTTCGATATTTATATTGCACACCTACACTACAGCTTTTACTGCATGGTCTATACGGTCCCCACGAGGTCCAACCACCATCAACTGACGTACACAAGAAAGTTTAATGCAAATGTTACTTTTCTGTCGACATCCGGCACTATGAAAGGTGTCGATAGTAAGAAAAACGACGATGTAACCCTTACGGACAACTTCTCAAATATTTTCCCTTTGAATGATTCCATTTTTTAAAGAAAATACGCCGTAATGTCATAATCTGATTAGCCAATTTGCCGTTTTCGATAAGAGTACAGACAACGCTGCTCGCGTCAACGTGTCACGCCATGGTCACGCACTGAAAGATTTGACTAGCGTCTCTCGTTGTGGACTCACTCGGCACACCACTTAATGAAAAATGTCGTTCTCCATGAGAATACAGAACACGCTAAACCACCGTCGACTCGTTTAACTTACTCAATAATTGAAATACACTGAAATCTTAAGTCTCTGAAATCGTTTGTGATGCACTGATGAATTTAGTGTTGTTTGTTTTGTTACCTGGACAAGGATCAAGTTTGCACTGGCGATGCTGTCTGAACGCTCCTTGGCATGTTTTTAAACTATGTGGAAGTGATGGGTTTACGCATTTACGTATTCTTGACTGCATGCCTCCTCCACAGGACTTGCTGCATGGGGTGTATGCTCCCCAAGCTGTCCACTGGCCTTCTGCTGATTCCATTGCAGCTAATGACGCACCATCTACAAAAAAAAAAAATAAATAAACATGTGGAAAAAGTTCGAGTTTAATCAACATTGTTATTTATCGAGATGGAAAAGTATTTATTTTTGATGAGGAAATGCCTTGACATTGCTGTATTGACCTGTTTCTTCCTATGTCCTCCCAGCTGCAAGATAAGTCGTCTTCAGACGTTTCACGGCACGAGGGAGAGCAAAAGATAGCGTTAAAATTGGACTCGCGAGAAAAGAGGAAATCGAACAGCACTTAAAAAACGAATCGACTTCAAATAAAGAATCGCTTTTTTCTTGCATAATTTCGCGGAAAAACTGTCCGTTTCCCTTATTAACAACTGAGGTTTTTTGATACACATAAGCCATCGAAAACGGCGTCATGACAACACTTATATGTTCTCTTCTTCCACCCCTGAATATGCTTTTTTGCTTAGACAAAAGCGGCAATGCATAACTAACCATATCTATGAGGTACAACTTGGCACTTGAAGTTGTAAAAAGTAGCAAAAAATGCTTCATCGAACATTACCCCCCTAGGATGAAGAATTTGGACTGAATTGGGGAAGAAAAATCCCCATTCCACATCTTAAGCGATTTTCGTTCTTTCATCGAAAACCAGTAGCAATGCGTCAGGACGTTTTCGTAATTTATGTCAATCTCATTCAATCACAATATGTTTTGGGTGATTGTTTGTTTCCTTTTTATTCATGGATTTATGTTTCTTTTTTTCCTTTTGTGAATACCTGAACACGGCACATATTCGTTGCATATCTGCGTTTCCATTGCGGGTCCTGAACAAGTACTTCTACCCTGAAATGAAGACGCATTGTTGCATTTCCTAGATCTGAACTGATAGCCGCCATTGCATGACTTCGAGCATTCACCATAGGGACTCCATGAACTCCAGGTCCCTCCATCTGTAAAACAAAGAGCATCGCTTTCACTATCCATTCTTGAATTCCTTTAATTTAGTTTAAATGTGTAAAGTTGACGGCGATAAAACGGTAATAGAAACGATAGCGTATCGCTATCAAATGATATATACACTACTGACAAAATTGTTTTCTTCTGTATTGTTGGATTAAAGGAAATAAAAGCTTACCTGAACATTGGCCGCAGGTTTTTGGACAAGAGGTTGACACAAAAATATGAGAACAGTAATTGGAAAATTTTATGCACCAATATTTCGACTTGTCGTAGCATCCTACAGAAATGAGAATTGATAGGAACGCTTTAAAGAGATCATAGAACATGTAAAAAAAAATAAGGGTGATAGAAATGAATGAGACGAGGACAGCAAATCCATAGAACGGCAGAACTAAAATAAGGTTGGCCATTATTTTTACATAATCTATATGACTAGGTTTGCGCTGAATGATTATAATCCATGGATGTATTCATCTTGGATACAGGGTCTCTACGGACATGCAATGGGATCGCACGTATAGTAAAGGGTATTAATTTTTTCGTTAATTTTATGACATTTTTCTTATTCCTTTTCTCTTCTTTCTTTCCTTCTCAACACTTGAAATGAAAAAGTCCTTTTAAACAACTGCGATACCTTTCAATGCATTGTTTTTGTCTTGCACGCTATCTAAAATGTGTAAAGTCAAAAGAAGCATGTTTCAGAACGTTTTAGAAAACAAGTACTGTACATATATGGGTCGGTGTTATGTACGCTAACAGTTAGCAGTTAGCGGCCATTTTATCATTGCAAAATATCCCTCTTTCTTTCATCTTGCGCGCTGTCTAAAATGCACAAAGTCAAAAGAAAGACGTTTCAGAACGTTTTAGAAAAAGAGAACCGTACATGGGTCGGTGTAAAATACGGTAACCGAGATAATTAGATATCGAGATATCATGATCAAAAATATTCCAAAATACTTTTACTTTAAATCGTGGCAATTCATGTAATTAGCGATCTTGAACATCTCCTAAATTATATCTTCCATTTACTTTAACATTTGAGAGCGGGTCTATTGCCAAAACGCTAATATAGATGCTCGTTGGAGGAGCAAGAAAAAGTTACCTAGTAAGTCTTCAACTTCCTCAGCAAGATCTAATGAAAGAAGATAGCGTATTCATCATGGTTAGTTCAGGTAAATATCAGAATATGGAGTTAACAATATAGGGCTTCCTATCACACCATTTTATCACGATAAAGAAGATAAAAGAAAGGCATAACATAACATTTTAGAGAACTTGGCATAAATTTTTAATACGACTTTCCTAAAACTGCGCATGAACCCTGCATGGAAGTTAAATGTTAGTTGAAGGGTTTGCACTTAAGTTAATCTCCCCATGATCCCCCTCTACTACTACTACTGTGTTATCTTTATACTCTCTGCTTCAGCTCGTCCTTTTGAGCCACCGTCATTAAGAGTGCGTCAATAGATAATGGCTTACCTGCTTCAAGTTCTTCGTTAGACAAAGAAAAGGAGAAGGTTAGAAGAAAGAGAAAAATAAAAAGCAGTTGTCGCTCCATCGCAATTACAAGACAATGGAGTTAATTCACTGAGTAATCTCTATAATACCGTTTATGACAAAAGACCCTTTGAAACCAAATATCAGTATTTGACACAAAACCAGTATCACGTGCAGATACCGTTCTCGTGTTTTAATTTCAATTCACAACTTTAATTCCGTATTTTCTTTAATTTTTCAGATCATCTAAGCTGTCGGTTTATATTTTTCGATCATTTGTATATTTCATTTTTAAAATTTTTCAAAGATTTTAACCAGAAAACATTATTAATCGCCGCTCAACATTCCCAGTCTAGAATATTTCCATGCCAGATTGGGTTCACTGAAAATTAAAAGCTAATATTGTTGTTTATTCTCAATAACCGCAATTGATTCGTCCATGGGAGAGACTTGTATGCTCGAGCTCTAGGTATGACATGTTTTCTGGATTTTAAAACCAATTCTATAAGCTAGGTTGGCGGTTCTTTTTTTTCAAAAGCCAATTTTTCTAGTACACAAAAGCGACATCTTTAAAAAAGTGTGCATTTATCTTTTAAAAGTATTTTCGATGACGATGCCATGTGTATCATCATCTGTATTCTCCAATAAAAAACCATCAACAAAAGCTGAAAAAATCTTTTGCGATGCTGGGGACCTATACTAGCTGCTAATTATGGTTGACTAAAAAGAGACCAATGATTAAAATGAGAGCGAACACAATTTCATGAAAGCGTAAAAACAGGTTATAAAAAGGGCTCTTGGTGACCTTTGAAGGATCGTTTTTAAAACCTGAATGAAAAGAATTTGCTTTTAATCGTGAAAAGGCTCTCATGAATACTTTTGTCTTAAAAAGAACAATATCATTTTACCACCCATGATTGACTCAGCTGATATTGCTACGCGAATAATTCGATTATCTTGTAAGTACTTTAAGTTAAGAAAAATAAGAAACTTAAAACTGAATCACTCCGTGATATTACAACATGCTCACTGCCTCACATGAAACAGGATGATTTGATTTTTAACTTTCAATATTCTTTTACTTGTAAAGTGAAATGCATGACTTTTACAGCAAATCCCAATCTTAACTTCGAAAAAAATGCAAAAATAGGAATGCACTTGCTTTTAATAAATTATGTTATTGTATGATATGAAACTCAGTGCTGTGTTAAAAGATGTCCCATTCAGAGCAAGGAAGATCAAACCTTGATCAAGGGGCAACATATATTTTTCTTTCGAGTTAAGAACAAGACATGCTTTTTTCGAAAAAGATATCTTAACTCTTTATAGGAGGGTATCACCTCCTTTCAAAAATGCATAGTTGCAGTTACAAAAAGAAAATAGTAACAATTCTAAATTCGTTCTTAAGAAAGTTCTTTACTTCATTGAAATTAGCTTAATCGACTTTGAAAGCGAACATTAGGTAACCGATCTAGGTATTGTCTATTTTGTCCCCCATGGTTTCTTTTGTGGAAAAGTTTCTTGCGATTGACGTCCGCAGAAAAATGCGTAATCATGATCCTTCGATGATATATAAGTATAGACTGAGTCTCTTTGTATCACAGATAGGCAAGAAGGGCAACGCGAAGACGAGCAAAATCAAAATGCTGTTTCGTAATTTACTATTATTTTTCATTTCCCTCCAGTTTACTTCCGCGTTTTGGCCGTTTTCCGAGAGCTCTGATGCCATAGAAGGTAATACATATATTTTTGAAATCAGAAAATACTACGAATCGGACCAAAAAGAAGGGAAAAAAGTGATAACGGGTATTTGGACAGAAAACTTCCAACGAAGTTATAAGATACAGGTGTGGGTATCATGCCTATCGCGTAACTCAGTTATTAACGCATGATTTTCTTTTTATAAAATAAGTTTGTTGGTGTCGTTTTACCCATTTGAAAAAGTTAAGATTGATAACCGCATAAAGTTTTCAGGATTTATTCTTCAAGGTTCTCACATGTATTGTTTGAAATTGGCCCAAAAATATTTATTGCAACGTGGTTTGATAAGTATACTTATTAACCAAGCTTGCTCGGGACCGTACTGGAAGAATATCGGCCCTCGATCTTTTTTGTACGGACCTCGCTGCGTTCGGTCCGTACTGTCAAGACCTCGGGCCGATATTCTCCCAGTACGGCCCTCGCGCTTGGTTAATATGATATATTTACCAAACTTTAATTCTTATCGTGGTTATGCAACCTCTGGCCCGAATCCAAATGTACGTGTAATACAATGGGAGTTCTTACGACTAACACTTATATTTACAGATCTTGATAACATTGCCGCAGATGATTCTGACTACTTTAATCGTAAGTTCGCATATATTATACAACTATCATTTGAACGTTTTTAAAGACCAGTGTTAATCAGATCTTGCTATAAAGGGTCACCTTCAATAGAATCTGCGTATTTGAGATAAATGTTACCTTGGTCCCTGATTTGCCATTATCGGTGTTCTTGGTCCCTGATTTGCCATTATCAGTGGTTCTACAAAATGAAATAAAATTCTGAACCATGAGGAAGGATACACAAGGGGGTGCCGGGGGAACTTATTTTGTACACTAAAGCGGATTGCAAAACGTAATTTAATTATCGTTGTTCACCAAACGGACAGTTATTACTGTTTTCATTCGCCTGTTTTATTTTCCAGGTTGTTTGGACACCTACCCTTGCGAAAAATGTTTTAAGATAAAGTCATATGGAAAGTGTTATCATTACATGAATTATTGCAGGAAAACATGTTCAGGATGTAAAGGTGCTTTGAGAATTTTTCATTGATATGTTTGACACATGTAACAAATCTTGGTGGAATGAAAAGACAATATTCAAAACAAGGAGATTAAAATGCATGGCCGAGGGTATGACTGTGTTTAAATCTTGGAGTTCCATAACTATACAGGTGCCTCAACGAGTGATTGCAATAGGCAATTTCCGAATTGCTTTTGGCCTCTTTTTCAAAACGAGGCCTGGTGCTCAACCATTATTGTGAAAATGAGTTTAATTTGCATGTGAATGAATAACTTATAATCATATGAAGGGATGAGCACCAGGACTCGTTTTGAAAACGAGGCCAAGGGTAATTTGCAAATGGGCTATTAGTGTAGCATTATGTTAATCAATATGTCATTCAAAATTAGTTCTCAAGAAATCATGAATTAATTTTATTTATTTTTCAGGACCAGATAGCGATCGCTTCGGCACCGATAAATGCGAGCACTACAAGAAAAAGGGTTACTGCAGTTATCCTTCTTACAAGTATTTTAAGTGTCAGAAGACTTGTAGTATTTGTGAAGGTGAGCAATCCCGGCCAAATCAGTCATAGTAGAATTAAAGCAAGTCCAAAGTAGCAGAAAAACGCATCAAATATAAAGCACTTATTGAATACAAATTGTTGGAAGATGAAACTGGTCCTGGTGTAATTTCTACGGTCCTCTTTTTCTAGTTAATGGAAACTGGGGCAATTGGGGATCTTGGAGTCACTGTTCGAATAGTTGTGGTGGCGGGCGGCAGGGAAGGAAACGGGAATGTGATAACCCCAGACCTGCCTATGGTGGCCAAGGATGTTCTGGTACATCTGAGAATTCCCGTGACTGCAACACTAACAAGTGTCCAGGTGGGATGAACTCACTATTTTTTTTTAATTAAGCGTAATATTCAAAGAAAATAAAGCATTGTATGTTTCTTGACACTCTTTCTTTAATCCACCTACATTGTAAGAAGAGAATAAGTCACTATTGTCTGAGAAATTTTCATTTGAGCGTCGAAAGTACTTCAACATTGCACTTGGTTTCCTTTACTTCTCTCTGTCATTGGACCAGAAAATTCTTACCATTCTCTCGGCCAATCAGACGCAAAATTAAAACCAGCTACGACATGATCGTCTCCGCTTTCCTTTATTTTAGGCAATTTTTTTTCTTTTACTTTGAGTTCCCATTAGCTCCTAAAGATATTTTCCTTTCTTTCGCTCGGCCAACGTGATCACTTTGGTTTTGGCTGTACTACAATCGATCGAAAAGTGCTGTATACGCTTTGAGATAAGTATAAGTTTATTATGCAGTTGATGGGAACTGGGGAGAGTGGAGCCAATGGAGCACATGTACAAAGTCATGCAAGCAGGGAAAGCAGTCACGAACACGAAAATGTAACTCACCGGAAGCAAAGTATGGTGGGAAAGCTTGCACAGGAGATGGAGAGGAGACCAGAGTATGCAACAAGGATGTACCATGTCCTGGTAGGTTGGACCTTTCTAGATATAATATATATCTATAAACAGATATGAAATTGTTAACCTTCTGTAAGGGGATCTGTTCTGAAATTTTCTCTGTAGTTAAAGTTTTTAAAGATATGTGTTATTCCTAAATTAGTGAATGGAAACTGGGGACAATGGGGACAATGGAGCATGTGCACGAAGACGTGCAAAGAAGGTAAACAATCAAGAAAACGTGAGTGCAACTCTCCTGCCCCTCAGTATGGTGGAAAAGCATGTGAAGGCGAGTCAATTGGAGTCCGTATTTGCAACGCAAATGTACCATGTCCAGGTAAGTTATATAATCTTGCATTTGATCCTCATTAACTGTTCTCCCGCCTGGGTTGAAGGTCAAACAGAAATCGTCTTTTAACTCTAACCAGTGTGAGCAGTTTGTGATTCAAAACGTCAAGGTCCGATTTATAGGCTGAAAAGGAAGCGGTGATCTTTTGCGACACAGGAGAAGATCTAATTTGGAAAGTGATCAAATTCTCCCTCAGAGGATTTTTTCCCTTTATTCCTCCCCGCCTTCTACATTGTTGCAAGTGGAGAAAATAGGGCTTACAAGACGAAATTAATGAATGATGTTGTCTTTAGTTGATGGTAACTGGGGAAAATGGAGTGCATGGAGCACATGCTCAAAGACGTGCATACAGGGAAAACAATCAAGAACACGTAAATGCAACTCACCAGCTCCTCAGTACGGCGGTAGGAAATGCGACGGGCATTCCAGCCAGACTCAGATTTGCAACCAGAAAGTCCCCTGTCCAGGTATTCGTCTTTTACTTTTAAGGCGCTCCGAAATCTCTCTTCAGACTTCTTTGAGTGGTCTTAGTAGCTAGAAATAAAACAAACAAACAAACAGACAAACATTCAAAAACAACAACAACAAAAAAATACAATAAGTGACATCTCCTTTTAAAACGTCGCAGCATATCATTACCATAACCAACTCATTATCGAGTACTTCTAAACATTCTTCCTTTTACTGAACGGAGCATTGAAGGAACCTTTTTGAGACGGTAAGCAAAGTTACTAGCCTTAGATAAAAGTTCAAAAAATAAAAGTACTCTTCTAAAAGTACTTTATCTAAGGCCAGTAACTTTTCTTACCGTCTCAGAAAGGTTCCTTTAATGCTCCGTTCATTGAGTGGAAAAATGTTTAGAAGTACTCGATAATGAGTTGGTTATGGTCATGATATGCTACGTCGTTTGAAGAGGAGATGTCACTTATTGGTTTTTTTGTTGTTGTTGTTTTTGAGTGTTTGTTTGTTTGTTTTATTTCCAGCTACTAAGACCACTCAGATATGTCTAAAAGTACTCTCTAATAGAAACGAGACCTTGCTCTTAACAGTAATTTTGAATTTCAGTTGACGGAAACTGGGGAGGATGGAGTGAATGGAGCACGTGCACAAAGACATGCAAGCAGGGAAAACAGTCGAGAACACGTAAATGTAACTCACCAGCTGCTCAGTACGGTGGAAGGAAATGCGATGGAGAGTCTAGCCAGACTCAAATTTGCAACCAGAAAGTCCCCTGCCCTGGTAAGTGAAGCTTTTAGTATCGATGTCCATTTTTTTCGAGAAAATGTCGGATAATTTACGTTGGAGCTCAAGCAATGACTAGATTCACTTTGGTTTTGTCTTTCCCAGCAAACAGTTATAAATAATCGCACTGCAGGAAGGTGCTAATGATTTTTTTTTTACACAATATCTGGTCTTCAGTCGATGGAAGTTGGGGAGCATGGAGTGAATGGAGCACTTGTACGAAGACATGCAAGCAGGGAAAACAGTCCAGAACACGCGAATGCAACTCACCAGCTCCTCAATATGGTGGAAAGAATTGTGATGGAGATAGAAAGGAATCACAAGTGTGTAACGAAAAAATCCCCTGCCCAGGTAACTATTACGGTGGAGGAGGCAGGTATCAGGAGGCAGTGTGGCCGAGTAGTTAGAGTGTCGGACCCGTAATCCGCCGCTCCCGGGTTCGAGTCCCACCCTGACCACTGGATTTGTTTCACGGTAGCCCCGCGTTCAGATCCTTGGCCACGCTTGTAAATAGCCAACTGGTTTGCCTCCGGCCGGTTGGGGTTCTTAATGATGTTCTTGATGATGTTATATTCAATTTAGACCATTTGTTTCATTTGTTTGCAAGGACGACAATGGAAACCACTGGTTCACCAGTAATAGGCCATTTTACAGTTGTGTACTTAGTTGCCAAGCCTTTGATTCAGAGTGAGGCTGAAGGTGACCTTGTTGTGATAGAGACCTGTATCTACTTAGCATGATAACAAAGTGATTTACATTTGAAAGGCAGCAAGGTTTGTATCTTAACAAGGTCAACCCAAGCCTCACTCCCATTCAAAGGCTTGGCAACCAAGCACACAACTGTAAAATGGACTATTGCGTAATTCTATAAAAAGACTTTTTCTTTCCTATAAAAAAGACCTTTCCTTTTCTATTAATCTTTCAAGGACAATATTGTACCAAGGTAACTGGATATTGATTGGAAGATGAATTATTTTATGTGGTAAAGGTAAAGATAACGATATTGCAGTTTTCATCAGCGCAGTAGTTGCGTTAAAATGAAATTATTTATCATCAAAGCCGCTGTTTCCCAGTGAAAAATAAAATGTAAAATGAAAGCAATCGATATTAAGATGTTGGGAAATAGATAGCCAAGCAATGTTAGCTTGAGAATTAAAAAACATAGAAAGCTAATTATGTTTACTATTTCAGAGACAATGACGTAGGCAGGCCTTTTTTCCTTGATTGCTTTTATCACTATTGTTTTTCATTTTTTTCCTTAATCCAAAAATAAAATTAGCAATAAAGGGCTAGCATTAATTGCAACACAAGAACTGCCAATATTAACAAAAAATAGCATTTCTAACAACAATAAAATTTTTCTTTAGTTTGTTGTAATGCTCTTTTCCTTGGGAAGCAGACGGCATTAATAGCTTTCAAAAATCCTTGCTTGCTCGGGGTTGTATAAGTGTTTGATACCAACATCAGTAATTTCATAGACGGCAAAAAAAGGACTGCATAGCTGTCATCTGAAGCTTTAAAAATAGATAGGTAAACCTTGTTGATCATTTTTAAATGTTTTACGATTTCAGTCGATGGAAACTGGGGCGAGTGGGGTGAATGGAGCACTTGTACAAAAACTTGCAAACAGGGAGAGCAGTCCAGATCACGTAAGTGTAATTTACCAACTCCTCAATATGGTGGAAGGAAATGCGATGGAGAAGGGAAAGAATCACAAGTGTGTAACGACAAAGTCCCCTGCCCAGGTATTCAGTATATTCTTTCTGGAATTTTTGTTTTAATATGATCTTTAATATTCATCGACGTTTTACTCAGATCGTGATTTCGTGGCAAACACCTGACCTGTCGGTAAGGGTGACTATCATTTCTCTTATAACTATTTCGTGAAAGCTATGAAATGTCCTTGTTGCCAAAGCTGCTATTTCCATATTTGCAATGGCATTTTTCAAGGATAACGATGCACAATTCATGGCCTGGCAGAAGCCATAATTGTGATAAAAAGCTCATGATCTTTTCAATTCTAGTCGATGGGAACTGGGGAGCATGGAGTGAATGGAGCACTTGTACTAAGACATGCAAACAAGGAAAACAGTCGAGAACACGTGAATGCAATTCACCAGCTCCTCTGTATGGTGGAAAGAAATGCGATGGAGAAGGAAAGGAAACACAAGTGTGCAACGACAAAGTCCCATGTCCAGGTACGTAAGTCTTCTTTCAGGAACAATTATGGCAAAGTATTTTCAATTATTATGATAAAGGGGTTGGATGCAATATCCAGAACGTGACTCGTAGTTGAATTTTCGCCTATTATTCTACGAATAAGCTCTGATTATTACCACACTAAGACGTTCAAACAGTGGCACTTTTCCGCCAGAGTGGTTGCGTTGTTGCACATTAACTTTAGTTAGGATTGTTGTTGTTATCCAGCGAAAAGGGATTATGTATAGATAAATTAAGGGATCAACGGTTTGATGGTGTGACAAAGGCCCTAACTGTAATTAAAAGCTGAGAAATCTGTATGCTTTCAGTCGATGGAAACTGGGGCGAATGGAGTGTGTGGAGCACCTGTACAAAGACGTGCAAGCAGGGAAAACAGTCTAGATCTCGTCAATGTAATTCCCCCGCTCCTAAATATGGTGGAAAGAATTGCGATGGTGAAGGAAAGGAGACACAAGTGTGTAACGACAAATCACCTTGCCCAGGTAATAGATAACTTACGAAGTAAATGCAAATTGGTGTAGTTACAGATTGGAGAAGACGTAAATTTGCATAAGATTTTCACAGTGTTCGGATGGTCGCTCGGTATCCAACTCGCCTCTTTTCAAAAATTCCTTTTCAACATTCTGAAGAGCATACAGCTATCACAGTGTGCATCGAAAGGTTTCTTCAAAATCGTTTGATATTGAATGATTTATAAGTTGATGTTTTGTTTTGGTTTGGTTATAAGTTGACGGAAACTGGGGAGAGTGGAGCGAGTGGAGCACATGTACCAAAACATGTAAGCAAGGAAAACAATCCAGAACTCGGAAATGTGACAACCCTGCTCCACAGTATGGAGGGAGAAAATGTGAAGGCGAAGCTGATGAAAACCAAATATGTAATGACAAGACCCCTTGCCCAGGTGAGCAAGAAAGCTTAAAGAAGGATTTTAGTCAAGAGTCTGGGTTTTCCAATTGGTTTTAACCCGACGGTATTCCTCAGAGTTCATGATTATTTGTTTTGGAATTAAATAACAAACGACTAGAAAGAGTACTTTACCATTATTTACTGGCACTTTTCCTTATAGTTGATGGAAACTGGGGAGAATGGAGCGCATGGAGTACGTGCAGCAAAACATGTAAAGAAGGAAAGCAATCAAGAACGCGAGCTTGCAATTCACCTCAACCTCAATATGGTGGGAAAAAATGCGACGGCGAATCGGGGCAAACACAACTTTGCAACAAGAATATTCCATGCCCAGGCAGGTTTAATCTAAAACTAACTAATATTTCGTCATAGCAAGTAAATGGATACTTTTTCAGTGAAGAGAGTGTGTTTCTGTCCTCTTTAAGTAGTTGCTATTTTTGCTGCTTACTAGCTTTAACTGTCCAGTTTGTCTGTAATTATCATCACGATGATTGAAGTATTTTGAAGAACTCCCCGTAATAACTAATTTACGGGTAAATGCGGCGTCAGTCGCTTATTTCATCTGAGGCTCAGATTTTGCGTGCGCGTCCTTTTTGAGAAATGTGTATTTACTTGTTAAATGGTGTGTCCTCCTTATTATTGATTTTCTCTGTGACAAGTTCTTGCAATCAAAATAATAATGATAATAGCTGCATGCACTATGGGTGATGCTGAGAGCCTTAGGTTAATATCTCAACAGAACTTAAAACTTTAAATCTGGTGGAGTTTTGGTTAGAATGAATTCAGAATCATGCTGTAGTAGAAATAAGTAGCTACTGAATGACATGTGCGACGGTCTCACCATTAATTCTTTTATCCTCTCTCAGTGGATGGAAACTGGGGCGAGTGGGGAGCATGGACCAAATGTAGCAAGTCGTGCGGGGGAGGAGAACACTCGAGAAAGCGTTTGTGCGACAGTCCTGCGCCTGCGCACGGAGGCAAGATATGTGAAGGGGCATTTCGACAGAGGCGGCCTTGTAATGAGAACAATTGTCCAGGTATGAAGAAAGCTAATAAATGCATGTAGGATGCACTAGCATGCATGTAGGATGCACTAGAATGCATGTAGGATGTACTAAATAAACCTTTCAAGCTTTTGAACAAAATTCGATTTCGACTGATGATCTGAATCATTATGGCTTGACGTATCTTTAGGTGGTATTACTGTTTTAAAATATTTCAAAAGCTATTTTTTGTTTGTTTGATCCGTTCCAAATTATCCACCATTTTCGCAAAAACCTACGATCCTAAGAACACTTTTCCCTTCGTTTGTCTTCTAACCTCCCTAACATATACAAGCTAATGAAACAAATTATTCACTTTCGCTTCTATGTTTACCACAGTCGACGGGAGCTGGGGCTCGTGGGCTCCTTGGAGCGCTTGCAGTGCTACGTGTGGATACGGAAATCGACAGAGAAAACGTGTTTGCGATAATCCAAAACCAGCCTACAATGGAAAGTCATGCGTGGGTGTTGGGTATCAGAAGGCAAGATGCCACGCCTATTATCCTTGCCCAGGTATTTCACCTTTTTCCAACTCTCGGTATCATTTTTAGTATTTTTCTATTTTAAACTCGGCTTTTGCAATATAAACCTTTCAGGGAGTCAAACCCTCTTGCATTACTACTTTCAAATTAGCAATTTTTGCTTGTTGGAGTGTAGAGAGACGTTCTTTTTCTGTCAAACCTGTTCAAATCGTGAAGGGGGCGAGTTCGCTTTTGATCATAGCGTTCACAACTTAGCCCTCACAAAATCATTGTGCTTTTGTACGAGTGAAACAGTTTGCTGGATTATGTACGTCTCTTTTCATTTTTTTTTCTTCTTTCTACTGTGGCAGTCGATGGTAATTGGACAAGTTGGGGAGCCTGGACTTCATGCACCAAGACTTGTGGTCTGAGTTACAGGAAAAGATCTCGTTCATGTGCAAATCCCCCTCCACAGTATGGAGGCTCTGGTTGTGTTGGGCTTAATGACCAGGTGGAACGTTGCAAGGACAAGCCCTGTAAGTGATCTAATAAGCTGTCTTATATCAAATTAATACCTATAAATGATAATTGAAGGTTCTGAACTTTTTATTTCAAAGAGCAGTTAGTGTTGTTTTTGTCTCTAATTCTGGAATGTCCGCGAAAGACTGCTCTAACATTTTTCAATCAATTTTTTAAGCTATTCTTAATCATCTTTTTATGGTTCTTTTTAATGATTCTGTGTGCTTTTTGCTTTATTTCATACAAGGCTTCTTCTCGTTCGATTTAGCTTCTCCCTCTGGAAGTATTAAGTGTGAATCTATTTTGTTAATGCTGCACTTTCGGGTTTGGCGTGTTGTACAGTAGTAGATACGATTAAGAGAAGCAAAAGGACATGGCCAGTGTCCTTCGAGTTTGTTTCATTTGTTTGTTTCATTTGTTTGTTTCATTTTGGCAATGTTTCATTGAACATTCACAAGGTAAAACAAGTCATTCTTAAAGTAGTTGCAAAATTAAACAATAATTTTATTGTTATATTCCAGGCCCAGGTTACTGATTTTACGCATAAGGCAGCACTGGGATGCAAATTTTAAAGTAGGTATTGCTTCCATCCTTTCCTCCATTTTTATTTTCTCAATTCAGTCTGTTGTGTGATGTTTCTTGATTTGCCTTAAACTCTTGTTGAAATAAAAGAGACCTGCAAGTTTAAACAAAAAGTAACAATAGCGTTTGGGTAAATTATGCCCTTGATTAGCATTTGTGTCTTTTATGACTTGGTGCGTTTAAAGATATGCATGAAAGTAAAGTATCAAAAGTAACGCTTCTTTTTCTTTCAGTTTTTAGAGTCCTTCAGAAGAAGTCATGAAAATCCAGTACATATGTTTAATTAAAAAGAAAAACTGTTTATTTGCTAATGGCAGCCGAATAAATGATCATGTAGCAGTGAAGAAGAAAATAAAATAGCAGTCGCATTTAAAACTATGTTGTTATATCTTTTATTTGCTGTAGTGTAGTTTCTATTAACTCTCGATAATTCTAGAAAATTCACAAACTTGGCCGAGGAAACGACATGATACACACAAATACATGTATAACCAACAAGGAAAGCATGTGTCTAAGAAAATGGGTCGTAATAGATTAGATTTGTAGACGGCACGAAAACATTCGTGCAGTCGGTAGGTCCACATTCAAATCATCTTCAAAAAATAAGTTTTTATTACTCAAGAATATCTGACACAATAGAATTCCAAATTTAAAATAACGTAGGAATTTTATACATTTCTGTTACATTTAATTTGATCGCCTACTATGGGCTCGTAGAGGAATGCTTGCTCATGATCTCCCCTGCATAGTTAGTTTCTAAGGTTTCAGAGCGTATGCCATTTCGTTATGAGATTTTCTTCTTAAAGATATAAAGCTCAAAAGATAAGTCTTGGCCTTAAAAATTAGGTCTGGTGATCTAGGCTGGTTCATGGTACAAGTTTAAGATGGTCGTTAACACTGTCAAAGCACGTAATAAAACTGTTATTAACGAAGTTATTCTTTACTTTTGTGAAATAGTACAAATCCAATATAAATAATAATCTACAAATCGGGTAATTTTACTCCTACCTGTTTTTGTAACCCTTACGTCAAGCTGGTAGAAGTAGAATATGAAAAACTTACTTTTTCAGTGAAAATAATGCAAATGTTTTTACGTCGGCTTACAAACAGCAGAAAGTACATTGAAGGTTGCTTGCATGTATTAATATGTGCGATTACCTCTTTGTTGATTTACATTCCTGCTTCGCCTTCCCGCTTCGCCATCCAAAAATATCATGTCATGCTTAATATTAGTCACGCTAGCCTGACCTCTTCTGAGAAATATCGTTTCAAAACACGCGATGTGATATCTTTGATTATTGCCCTAAGGTACAGTGGCGCGTACTAATAACTACACCACAGTTTGCGACGTAACGCCCTTTCTTTTTATAACGTACATCTGCTTTACATGATCACGGAAACAAGTGATTCCTACCAGCATGTTGGTCCTATTTAAACAGAGCTCCTCCAGAAATAGTGCTAAGATTAAACGAATGCAACGGCAGGTTTAGACACCACACAGTACACCTTCTGGTTCGTGAACTCGTGTACTTGGCGTGCAACATACTCTTTACAGTTTTTTTGAGAGGACCCTGCCTACGAAAAAATATATATTGTAATAAAAAAGCCCTCAGGGAGGTTTTATATCTAGACCTGATCTATTTTGGACCACTTGATTTTCAACTGCTTTAGTCACTCACAGTATTTATAATACAGATACAGACTGTCTTCCAATACAACTTTTAACTGGGGGTTGTCTAGTTATAGTTCAGTGAGATATCGAAATTCAGGAGTAACGAAATAACGATTCAAGAAGGGACAAGCGTGTCCTAGACATCATATTCAGGATACGATGTAAAAGACCAATTCATAAACAGAACTTTGTTGAAAACAAAATAGTATCAGTTCCTCTAATTTACAAATCGTAGTGGTCATTTCTCCTAAGACTTTTCAAATACCTTTTCGCACGATTATCATATTTCACTCTTTTGGGTAAAGATGATTTTTATAACGTACGTAATTGATACAATTCCAAACTCAGTACAAGTAATTGCCTGCGACATACACAGGCAACAACTAAGTCCGTTTTTACTCGAATTTTCATCTAATCTTTGCAAAAAAACTGACATTTGAGTGTCTAACTAACAAATGAGTGCTACTATTTTTATTTTAGCCTACAAATGACTATATCAAATTGCTAGACCTCTAACATTTTTCAATATGCCACATTCAATATGTCTTTATTAGGCTATTCTTTCTTCTCTTTGTCTCGCTATTTATCATACAATATCGAGCTCGTTTTACTCCTTTCAGAGATTTATTTCCAAAACATGCTATACGATATGTTGGATTTTGTGTCTCCTAAATTTGCACCATCAAAATGAATAGAAGCGTGCTTTTACTCAGTCATACAGACATACTATGATCGGTCTTCAAAATGTCGCAGCCATGCAGAGGAAACTTCTGTTGATCGCGTGTTTCCTTCTTGGAGCCTGTACGAAAGGGAAAACGCTACGACTGTGGAATTTATTACTACTACTACTACTACTACTACTACTACTACTACTACTACTACTAAAATGATAATTAAAACCCAGTTAACGAAAGGTGCGATAACTAACTTAATCATTGAAATTTTTCAAGATACTCAACTTTCTAACGAATAGCAGCAATCTTTTGACTGTGTGCAGTATCCATTCGAGCACAAAATACGATTGATAAAGGAACCCTTTTTCAACCAGGATCTTCTCTGGTGGAAGGATAAGGAGAATCGTATCATCCACAACTATACTTAACTATCGGATGAAAGGGTGAAAGATTTTTGACCAATAGCACGCCATACAGGTACCTGTCCTCAGTGTATTTGATTATGTAATTTTCAAAGTATGCCTTTAACATGTGTGAAATAATCAATATAATACTACTGGCAATAATAACGATAAAAGTAATTGAAGATTAAACCTAGTAATAGCGATAGCGGAGATTCCAACTTGTAATTTTGACAGCATGATTAGATTAAAATAATTTTGATACCATGGCAAAATGCTTTGCTTTTACCTGACTTCTTCTCGTAAAACTATTTTTTTTATTTACTCCTGTGTTAACCTTTGTGTCCTGACCAAAGAATCCCCCCCCCCCAACTCTACCCATCCCCCATCTCTCTTAAAAAAAGAACTCGAAAAATGGGACCCAACTACGTACGCCAATATTATTCTAGGCTATGCTGAGCGACAGTTTTCAATCAGTACAATGGCTCCAAATCTCAACTCTACGGTCGCAACATCGACGTTTGTAACGGCGCTACTTCCTCTATCAGAGAGAAACTCAACAAATCTTTAACTGCTGTCAAATTTCTACCCGACTCTAAAATATACTCTGGAAATTTCTAACACTTGTCAAAAACTATAATGTATTGGAAATGAAGTTAAAGAGTTGACTGCGATGATGGGGTAGTGCGGTCAGATTTAATAGATGTGATAATTATGGCATGAGTATAGGTATATATTTCAATTGAAGTGGTTAAATCTGTAAGGCCGTGTGGACTCTCCATTTTAGCTAGTTCTAATACATCAAGGGAAGGATTTGTTGGCTGAAGGAGTGAATCGGTAAAACTTTTAAGTGCAAATGAGCTAGATGTCATATGAAAAAGTACGTGAGCACCAAGCAAATCAAACGGAATGGAACCAGTAGTTTCATTCTAAATTTTCTATCGTTTCCTTTTTTTTGCACCAACATATCAACGTGACCGACGGACATGGGATCCGCTCGTTTTCTTTGATATCGGGAAAATGCTTTCGCATGACGTTATGAAACCAAAACTTGAATTCATCTTTCACTTCATCCGGGCTGCTTTGCAAAATACCTTTAGAGGTCAGGGTATTGTAACATTCGTCATAAGTAAGCTGCCAGTGTTTCCTCGTTGTCGAATCCTTTTGTACAGTGAACAGTTTTCCGACCACTTGAAATATCCTATTCATGGTTTCTTTTGAGGTTGTGTGTTTGAAACCATTTTCTAACGGGCGAAAAAATGCTAACAACTCTTTGACCCAGGGCACTGATTCATCTGGAAAGATCCAAATCATTCCCAGAGAACCACCAGGCACTAACACCCTGTAAATATCTCTCACAGCCTCTTCGTTTGCGAACCAATGAAAACAGTGCGCAGCGACAACTGCATCAACACTCGAGTCTGGGAGAGCTAATTGGGCAAAAGATATAAAATTAATTTGTAAAAGCGAGCAAAACAAGCAAATTGTAATAGCTTGAAATACTCACTCCTCGTAACTGCATCAGTTTCCTCTATAGTTTATCTTGAAAACATGCTTTTTTATGACGGCGTTTCAGAAAGAATTAATGGATTTTATCATAAATAATCATAATAATGGAGACTTTAATTGTGATTTTGAATATACAATTGTAAATCTCACTACGTAGAGGCAATTTATAAATGCTGCATGAGATAATATATTATTATGATAATAATTATAATAGAATTTATAAAAATAATAATGATAATTAATAGTAATAAATAGGCTCTTTATTCGCACCCGATTCATGGTTATTTGCCACTCCTTAACTTCTCATCATTTGATTAACTTTCTCTTCTCCTCCACCTTGCTTATTTTGTCGTTATCTCGTTAAAACGATTCCTGCTTCATCATTTCACGGCTATCAATTATGGATAACTTATTTGTTTATTCCAAAAGATGACACAAAGTGAATTAAACCTGACTTACCAATATTCTCTGCGCTGCACTGCAGCACCTCAATGAAAGGTAAAACTCTTTGGAACTGCCGTATCATGGTACCAGTGGGATCACTTGCTATTACTTGAGTCCCAGTGCCTTTTAAGATTTCAACCATGACTCGAGTAAACTTGCCTGTGCCGGATCCTAATTCAAGAACAGTGTGAGGCAGACTTCTGGTAAATGAAGACTTTTCAAAGTTGTTTTTTTCTAGAATTCCGAGTTTTCTCAAAAGGAATCTTGCAGATTCCAATGGGTATGTAGGTCGAATTCGTTCATAGCTCGCCGAAGCTTCGAACGCCACAGCCGCCAGTGTTGATCCAGTTATTCCTTTTTTCTCCATGTCGAGAGTTGGGTCACTCTCCTGTACAGCTGATAGAAATATACAAAAACAAATAAATTGATAAAATAATTAAATAAAAAGAATGAAAACAAGAATATGATAAATGGATAAAACTCAGCGTTCATTTATGAAAGTTTCACAAGCAATGGCGATATTTATATAAAAAAGAAATGAATACGTGCATCTAGCACACATTTGCCGATGTATGAGGGTACCAAAAAAAAAACTAATTCTACCGTTTTTTGGCTGTAGAGTCATTCCCCCCATCTCATACAAGTATGAACAGTAGCACATAAGCATCTGCGACCGAAATTTTGTCAAGGCCCACATAAATTCATAAATTTCGCTTTTATTTGAACACATTAACATCTTGACACCTTAAACATATCATGGTTACTCTTAATCACGCGAAGTTGGCGTGTAGGACCCTCTGCTTCTTTATCCAACGACAGAAAAAAAAAAAAAAAAAAGAGAGAGAGACACAATCACACATGATCGTGTTTCGAGTAATGCGAACAGGGTAACAAGGTCATAACCAAATAAAAGTAAATCCAATCCAACTTACCAATATTATCTGTGAAATGCAGTAACACCCGATGCGAATCAAAATTTCGTGGGCCTAACCTGTATCAATGGAATTGTTCACCTTAAAAAAGTGTTGCCATCAATTTCAATTTATATTTTGTGTTTAAAATTATATAATTGCTTTATTGTGCGTGTCAGTTTGTTTTCAGCCTGTGTTTAGTTTTAATAACGACCAGCTCGCTCAGCTTTGCAATCAACGGGATTTGCATATCACTCAAAGATAATACCTTTGCCACTGGTGACATGGAAAATTATACAAGGTCTTTTCTTGCCAAGAGAGTGTTTAATCTTTCACCGTGCATATTTTTATTACTATGTTTTTTTCACTGCCACGTCATTTCTGTCCCCCTTTTTTTTTCTAAAAACGGAGTTAAATCGCTTATAACTAAACATACACAGACTCTTATGAGAAAATTGCCCATATAAAGTTTTATTTTCTTTCTCCTTTTTTTTCCGACACATCATGAGGCATTTTTTTTTCTATAAAGGATACCAACTGATTTCGTTGAACTAATGCTACCCAAGAGGTCCAAATTGTTTCTTTTGATGCTAACCAATTTTATAACCTTTAAAGAAACTGTTGATTAAAATTGACATTTACCTGCCTGACAAAGTTTGCGCGCAAAGTAAATATGAAATCTCTGCTCAAATAGTCAGATAAAGCTCTATGAAACAATCATCGATCAGTCATCGCAAGTCAGGTAATATTCCATCTTATTCTTTAATAAGGTAGATATTTCTGAGAATTTTTTCAGCTTAGAAATATGATAGAGTTTTTGATCGTAAATCTCCTTTCTTTAAAATCTAGAAATCAGAAGACACCCTTAAGATTTAAGAGGGGAATCGGCTAAGCTATTACTGTGAAAACAGAGCTGAACCATGAACAAAACGCTAAAAAACAACATAATAGAGTTTTAACTTCTGCAACTTATGCTGCTTCGATTACTATTCTTGCTGCTGATATAATTGGCTACTTGCATTTTATCGTTTTAAGGCCAAGAACTTATATAGCGGGAGTTCGAGAACACTTGTACGTGCACTATTGGCCTCAGAAATATTAAAAAAATGCTAATATAACAACATCTTGGCTAAGTTATGGAGCATACAGTGTCAAACTGAGAAGAATAAAAACTCAAAGAACACAGATTTATGATTGCAAAATTGTGCAGGTCAAAGTGAAGGTTGGCAAAAATTATTTTCACTCCAGCAGTGCTTTAGGTTATTAGTTTTGGGATCAATTGATAGCGATACCAAAAAAAAGCTAACTTAAGTAACACATTTCTCTCTCGAATAAATAACACTTGTCCAGTCTCCCTTTGAAGAAAAAACTTGTGATCTTTATACATCTATGTTACCAACGAAACCAATTGAAGCCAAGGAAAACCTGTCCAAAATTTGCTTTCTTTTTTTAACCCGGTAGCGTAAAAACTGTTCAAAATGAGAAACACAGTTATACATCACCTGGTTTTTGTTTATAGAATTGAAGCGATATCCTAACTAAATCACACAAAACGAACAATTTCAGCACAAATGTTTCACACATTTAATTTCATCACCATTATTACCTTTTTTGTGTTTCACGTAATATTTCTGTTGCCTCGCTACATTCTTCTATCGATGGCATCTCATTTTAATAAAAGATAGCTTACAGTGCTTTGTAGTAAATTTTTCATTTATAATTTATGATAAACAAAAAAAAATATATTAATGCTGAAAAAGGAAAACTTCCCTTCCATACCGTGGTGGGGAATATAACCAAGTCAAAAATGGTCATTGTACATTTCTCCCTTTTTAGATGCTGCCAGATTGAGACGAACTGGCCTGCTTAATTAATAAAACACATCTCACAAATAACTGCATTCCCAAACGTGAGTAGGTGTGAAGGACAGTATGCTGTTATGAAGTAAGAGAGGCTATTTTGTTGCATTCAGCAAAAACTTTTAGCTGTACAACATGCCTTTATGAAGAACTGAAAGTGTATTTGAAGAGAGTTTGCTCTGATGATAATTCAAGTGCCGTGGCGCACAACTCTTATTTTAATGACGGGTCCGTTAGTTTTTTTTCTTTTTTCCCAGATGATGTGACAATGCAAATTCGGCGATTTCGTTTCTAGGTAAGGTTCTCTCATAGAGATATCCATGACCTCCATGGCCTTCGTGAGTAAAAGCAAACCCATTAACTTGTGTTTCAGATCTCCCAATTTCTCAATACATCAAATAAAATCCATTGGTGTTTGCGAGTTAACATTCTTAAAAATTAAATTTATCATTAAAATGATAGAAACGCCGGCAAGGTTGTTTGTCAAGGTGCGCCAACATCGTGGAGATCGTTTATAGCTTAACTTTGCCTTAAAACTGCACTTTTATGAGGTTGTTTCAACACCTTTAAATTGAAACATGGTATCAGTTGCTGTTGATTTGTGCTTAATGAATAAAATATCTGACGCTGCATATTTATTCACGAAAACATAATCGGTTTGTTCTTGTCAGTAAATATACGTGTTTGTTCACGTAAGGGAGTAAGTTAGCCAAATTAGGGCAAAGGAAAATTCGATCTCACGCACCAATATTCTCCTTGAAGCACTGTGTCTTCCATTACTGGGCCAACCTCTTCATATCCATGCTAAATAAATGGCTTAAAAATGATAATGAAAATTTAATAATGATATATATTTAAATTTGATCTTTTTTTTGCCCTGAGTATGTTTGCATTGTTGTGCATGTTATTCGTTTTCTATCTGAGTGTTCGGTTTTATTGCCGATTACCTCAACGAGATTTATAATGGATGGCACGATATGACGCATTTTTAAAAGATAACGTAACCCACAGACCTCTGCGTAGGCATGGCAGACCAAAAGAGGACTTTTACGACCATGATATGGTTTTCAGTATTACCCTGCATGATTTGTTTAAAATGTCCTTGAGATGTTTATCGTCATTGGTAGTGTCACGTACGGCAAGGACCGAAAATATTATAATTTATCGTCGGATCTACCTAATTTGCTGATTGAATCTGCTCCGAAGAAAACAATAGGTGGGTAACATTCGGTCAAAATTGGGTCGAGATCGTAATTCTATTGTTACACTTACTAACTAAGAATGATTCGGTGACTGGACGACTCAAATGTTTCCTAATTCTACGTAAATTATAAAGATAATAGAAAGCGGATAAGCAAGTTCTGTTAATATGACTTAACATAGTCATTTTGGTGTCAACCTCATTTTGGAGTTAAAATTGTGCGTCATTGAATGCCGCAGACTGTGAAACTATCTTGAGATGTTTATCGTCTTTGATAGTGTCACGTACGGCATGGACTGAAAATGTTATAATTTATTGTCGGGTCTACATAATTTGCTGATTTAAACGATAAAATGCTCTCTTCCCAAGGAAAAAAAACATTCCCCCAGGTTTTATGATGCACCGATCACGCCTATTTAAAATAATTTGGATATATCAACAAAGTTGAAATGGTAAATTGGCCACCGTAACGATTACAAAAGCTGACGTTTCGAGCGTTAGCCCTTCGTCGGAGCGAATAGAGGAATTTTCCCACCAATAACGTAGCTCCATTTTCCGCCTTTAAAGCTCACACAACCCACAATTCCTCTATTCGCTCCGACGAAGGGCTAACGCTCGAAACGTCAGCTTTTGTAATCGTTACGGTGGCCAATTTACCATTTCAACTTTGCTGATATATCCAAATTATTTCGTTACCCCCACCAACGCAGCCCCAAACAGTTTCTTTCGAAACTATCAGCCTCTATTTAAGATATTTCCGACGGAAAACTTATGTTGTGCACAATTCTGAAATGATTGTCAGATGTTTATCGCTTTTTGCTCCAAAAAAAAAATAATAATAATAAGTGGCCAACATTGGGTCAAAATTGGGTCAGATCGCAACGGAATTCTATTCTTACACTCACTCGTTTACTCATCGCGACAACATTAGTGGCTTTGCCTCTTTTAGGAATCACACTGCTGCGAAACTCGATTAGCTGAATTACGCTGTGAAGTATCAATCAAATTCTTTTACTTTCGAATTGCTGTCAAGAAAACACCCTGTTTTGCTGCAACCGCGGACGATATAGTTGAAAATTGTACAAAGACAAGACTGAGTGAGTGAGTTAGTGAACAAAGACATCCATTTTCGGATGAGCGTCTTGTTACAAATGGCCACTAATGAAAACAATCGTGATCGTATACCGTGATATAACCTGTAGCTTTTTATCTCCTAAAATTCTATGGACTTAAGGATTTTATGACTGTTATCGTTTATATTATTGCCATCGCCTTAAAACAATTACAAGTTTAGTAATAAGTTGATTCACTGCATTATATTACAGTATACGTTGAATTATTGCTAATAAATCATCGTTAATCACAGCTGATTCTCCGTGTTTTCTGGTTGTAACGGCTGCCACGCCTATGTCACTGTACATAAGAGAGATTTAGCACAAGTTTGGTTTGAGTTAAACCGCAATAGTGACGTTATCATGTGTCCATTTGGGACGTGATCTTTTAAGGTTTCATCTGGAACCACATTTTAGTCAGTTGTCTCTGCTCGGGCTAACGATAGGTAGTGTTTATCGGAAGAGAGTTTTGCCCACCTTATTTTGTAGTTCGTTTTCGTTAGACTCTTACAAGCGGGACTCTTATGCAAGTATCTGTTCCTTTTCTTTGTACTTTTCTAGATTTCTAGCCTTTTTAGTAATCCCGTTCAGGTTTTACACTAGTTTCTTCATCGCTCGTTTTTGCAATCTCGTGACACTTGGCTCACGTTAAGTTAGAACGCTACAAGTTTTTTTCCCACTTGGCTAAGTTTTTTCCCACTTGGCTATTGGTATGTGTACGAGTTCGTTTTCAAGCGGTTCACAATTATCCTGTCGAAGATATAGTTTTTGTGTGAGTTTGTGCTTTAGGTTTCAGCTTTCTTATGTCTTTGTATCGAAACGTTTAAAATGTCAGTTCGAAAACTGGAAATGAGCTTAACTTCTTCCTTATGATTTTAATATTTCAGTTTACGATAAGTACTTGGATACCTCGACTACGTTAAATAAAACGATTCAAGGCTTGTCCGTAAAATATATCCCCGCTTCATAGTGCGTCTTCACTTGCGAAACTTAATAGTTGTCATCGAAACCTTCTTCGTTTGTTTCAGCCGCTACACCTGCCTTATTCGACCAGTAAAGTATGAACGTAAACGATTAGCATTAATTATCTTCGTCAATTCGTCATTTTTTTAGCAATTACGTCATGAGCTTTAACACGTGGATGTCTATCGATGCTGTTAGCGGTCTTTTTTCAGCGGTTCTAGTTCAGTTTTACAGAGTTAGCATGCGTGTAACTTTATTTGAGAGTTCTGCCATCCGATCTGGTCGAATCGCTGATAACCAGTTTTATGACCTTCACAGAAGCTGTTGCTCGAGAGCGAAATTTAACTTGGTAAGGCTTCTCTTCTTTGAGTGTGAAATGTGTGCTATGTGTGCTATAATTTTCATAAATCGTTAGACACTCACTTATTTATGTGAGAGCCAAGGGGTATTCTGACGATTAAAGAGAGCTGTTGTCTTCTTATTGAGGTAGAGACTGATATAAAGTTTAAGCCGTTTATAAAAGAAATTACACAACACTCGCCTAGCTTTAATTTTTTTCACTTAAGAAATGAGCGATATATCAAAGTTTAAAGGAGGTTTGTAGGGTAATCGGGAGGAAAGTTGAACCTTGGAGCATTTCCGCACGAAAGTTCTATTCTGTAAAATGATTGTAGTGTCGAAGCCCAATCTCGTAAGGCAATAAAATTCAACCTGGGAGGAGAAAAAGCTAAGGGAGGGAAATTTATCATTGCAATGTTCGCAAGCACAATTCTCCAGCACATTTTTCGTTTCCTTTTCGTTCCAAGATCCATTCGAAGTAAAAATGGAAATTAGTAACGATTCTGAATGATTCAATTAGGTAGCAGCCTTGTCAATAAGTTAGCAATCGATGCATCAGTCTATCTCTTTTTGCTAATCCATACCTCATGCTTGTAGGTTATCTTTCCCATTGTTTTTTATTTAGTTATTAAATTCAGAATGTCCAACGAAGCAAGTTACCAAAGGCTGTCAAGTGATGGAGATGGTACAAGCTCTTTTCATCCTGCTGAATCTGCAAATTGGTTATCATTACTATCCTTTTGGTGGATGAACGGTACATTCAGAGTGGGAGCAGAGAGACCCTTGACACACGCTGATATACTGCCTCTTCATGAAGAAGACAGGACCAGAGATTTGACTGAGAACCTGCGGAAAGAATGGAACAAACACGTACATGAACTCAACAAGGATAAAGCATGTAAAGAACAACCCAGGCTCTGGAAGTGCATCTTAAAGACCGTAACCACAAGGGAGATTTCCGTCCTGACATGTTTTTTGATCTTGGAGTCAGTATGTCGTGTGTTACAGCCCTTATTCCTAGGGTTGCTCCTTCATTTGCTCCGTTTAACTGAGAAAGACTACTCGTTAGCATATGGATGCTGTTTTCTGCTGGCATTAAGCGGCTTATCCACAGCCTGTATTCACTATACTGGGTTTCGGTTAGAACTTCTTGGAATGCGACTCAGCAGTGCTATTAAAGGTCTTATATACCTCAAGGTCAGTTATTTAGACAGCAAATGAAACTTGTAATCAGTCAATCAGTCAATAAGCCGATCATGCTTCTAACAGCAAGTGATCATTCCTTTTAGATACCTTTGATCAGTAAACAGACGCTTCGAAAAGTGACAAGTGGAAATGTCATCGACTTAATTTCAAATGACGTTCAAAGAATTGAAATGGCGCCCAGATGGATATTCACTTCAACTCTAACTATGCTCGAAATTGCAGCTGTCATTTCCTTGTTGTTTTACCTCATCAGCTGGGAAGCGATAATGGGAGTTTTCTACCTTGTAGCTGTGATTCCGTGTGTCATGATTATTTCATCCTTATGTGCTCAGCTGAGGCAGGAAACAGCCGCCGTGTCCGATCATCGCCTATCGATGATGATTGAACTGATATCAGGCATACGCGCAATTAAGGCTAATGCCTGGGAGAACAATTACGGGGATAGGATTCAAGAAGTGAGAAGGTAAGAGAGGTCATTCTGTCAAGAATAGGTGGAGATATTTCATAATAATGTACAACAATGGAACTGCAAATTAAAACTAAAAATAAAAAGTGATGATTGGCTAGGTTTATTCCACAAGGAAAAGAGGACCTCTTTCCTTATAAAGAAAGAAAAAAACAACAAAATCGAGATAAAGTTCGCTTATAATTGACATCCATGTAGAGGCTGATCAACCATCTGACTTGCTAATTGTTAGACTAACCAGTTATTCAACTGAGTGATGGAAAGACGGACTGCTGACCAAAAATAACTGGTTTTCACTCTCATAGGGTTGAAACAGATTTTATTGTCACGAAAAATATGATTAGTTTAGCTACAATGGCGTCCACTTTTGATAACTATTTTATGCTGTGAGGTGCTAGTAGCTGAGAATTATTTTTTATATGTCCTGTAGGAAGGAGACCTGGATCCTCCTAAAGAAGGGAGCTCTTTTATCAATTGTGGAATCTCTTCCGTTTACTGCAGGGACTGTAGCCACTTTTCTGTCTGTCTTAGCTCTCAGCCTCGATGGCCATCTAATTTCGTCTGCCAAGGCGTTCATGTTGTTGGCTTTTATTAACACACTTCGAATTACTATCACAAGACTTTCTTATGCTATCACCTCAGTATTTGAGTTGCGGATATCTTTTAGAAGAATCAGAAACTTTCTTTTACTGAAAAATATCCCTTCGTTGAGCTTGGAGACCTCTGAGGCGCCCCCTGGCAACCAAGATCATTTTCAAGAATCTAAAAACAATTTCCCAGCGCTTTATGGCAGAGGATCTCTAGGAACAGAAATTAAAAATGAAGAAAAAAGATCTAAAAATCAAGACTTCAATGATTACATTCCTCTTAACACCGATGCTAATCCTGCCTCTAGGACTGAATTTACACAAGCCTCTCCAGGGAAGTTATCCATTGAAAGTCTTTGGTGTAAAGCTAATGAACTGGAAGGGCCAAATCTCCTTGAAGATGTCAGTTTTGAGGTCCCAGAAAAGAGTATAACAGTCGTTACTGGTGAAGTGGGGAGTGGAAAATCTACACTGCTAGCTGCTATTGCAAGAGAAATCGTCGCGTTCAGTGGGAACATTACCTACTCCGGAACTGTGGCTTATGTCTCTCAAACTGCTTGGGTTTTCTCTGGAACACTCCGAGAAAATGTTTTGTTTGGTAAGCCTTTCGATGATAAAAAATACAGCAGTGTGATTCAAGCTTGTGCACTATCTGACGACATTCACAGGTTTCCCAAAGGTGACCTCGTATTTGTTGGAGAACACGGTGTCGTGTTGAGTGGCGGTCAGCGAGCTCGTGTCAATCTGGCTCGTGCAGTGTACGCAGATGCAGACATGTATTTGCTAGATGATCCTTTGAGTGCAGTGGATTCCAAAGTTGGTGAACACATATTTAGTCAGTGCATTTGTAACTTGTTAAAGGATAAAACAAGAATTCTAGTCACATACGCAGAGAGGCATCTCAGAATGGCTGACCATGTTGTGGTTCTCAACAACGGATCCGTTTCAGGACAAGGTACCTTTAGCGATTTGAAAGAAAGCGGATTAATGTTTGATACTATCATAGCTGGATCTGCTGCAATAGAAAAGAATACCAGCACTGCAGAAAAAGAATCTAACTTGCGAGATAAAGAATTCCGAGGCCAATTTGAGGAGCATTTGTCTGTTACCCAAGAAGATACTACAACTGGAGAAATTTCCTCCTCGTTATACTGGAACTATTTTAGAGCCGGAATGCATCCATTATTTATGATTATTCTATTTTTAATTTTTCTTATAACACAAGGTAAGATAATCATACCTGCAAACTTCTCATGATTATTCTAAGGTTCACTTAGGAAAGAATAGTGAGGAAAAATATTGGCAAAAATAAAACTAGCAATGGAATTTTGATGTGATGATGATGATTAAGTACTTTTAAGCAACCTGAAACTAGCAACAACCAAGCGGCTGTATGCATTATACATTTTACCTTTGGTGTCTTTATCTCGAGTGAAATTACGTAATGAATGTTCTCTGAGTGAACTGTATTTTGAAACTTTTCCAGAACAGCTGGGGTGTACAGGTACATTAAAGAACAGCTGGGTTGTACAAGTACATTAAAGAACAGCTGGGGTGTACAGGTACATTAAAGAACAGCTGGGGTGTACAGGTACATTAAAGAACAGCTGGGGTGTACAGGTACATTAAAGCAGGGATGGCGCAGTGGTGAGAGGACTCGCCTCCCACCAATGTGGTCCTGGTTCGATTCCCGGACCTGGGTCCATATGTGGGTTGAGTTTCTGCTTGTTCTCTTCTCTGCTTCGAGAGTTTTTCTCCGGGTTTTCTGGTTTTCCTCCCTCACCAATTCAAAAACCAACATACAGCTGATTCCAGCTGGCTGTAAGCTGTCCCTCAAGGTTACACATAGCGGCTGGTAGAGGCTGCTAGCGGCTGCTTTCGGTTCGAACTTGTCGAGCTGCGTCCTTGCTGTACTTTGCGACGGCGATTAGCAGTGATATTTATTGTTATTATGATTAAAGCGCGTATTGCTTTCTCGAAAAAATACGTGATTTTTTAGCAACTCTGAAAGAATGATGCTTATACCATAGTATCATTCCTCCTATGAAAGACTAGTAATTTGTTTTCTAATTTTTCATTTATCAGCTCTTCTTGTGTCACCCGACATCTGGCTTTCAGTGCTCACTACAATTCCACTTTTATCGGAACAACAATCATTCTCCACATTGGGTATTTACGCCGCTCTTGTGACAGGCGCTTTTGCTATGGTCATTATACGTGCCATCATATTCTTCAGTGTCTCTCTCAGATCCTCTAAAAACCTGCACAACCACCTTGTAACCTGTTTACTTAAAGCGCCAGTGTTATTTTTTGACACCAATCCTGCCGGACGCATCTTAAACCGATGTTCTAAGGACATTGACTGCATGGACGAGTTGCTTCCCAAGACGTTTCTATCAGCCATCCAGTATCTTTTGTTTGTATCCACAGCCATGTTGCTACCCTTGTTTACGAATGTTTGGCTCTCCATTGTTTCGGTTCCAGCTGTGGTTATATTTCTAAGCTTAGCTTGGTTTTACCTGAAGAGCTCCCGTGAACTCAAGAGGCTCGAGGCCATTTGTCAAAGTCCAGTTTTCTCGCACTTTTCAGAAACCATGATCGGTTTAGATACAATTCGTAGTCGGAACAGAGAAGAAGATTTCATCGAAGATTTTTATAGGTGGGTATTATTGCAGGAAGCAATCAATTTTAATGCTTTATGGCAAAAACCGATAACGGAAACTGGTTGTTATAGCTGAAGAACACGTGTTACTAATCACCGACGAAAAGGGATAGTTGAGACAAGAAATGATTGACACGATTTCCATGAACCGAAAAGACTTTCAAACATTTCTCATTCGCTAAGAGGGTAAATGATAATCTAATAAGTCTGAATCTGGATAATTTTCAGAATGTAAAATCTTGAAACTGAAAGCTTTAATTTCTCGTAATTCTTCCGTCATTAAAGCATTTTCTCGCACTTTTAGCATCCCTCAGTGATTTCTGCGTGGAACCGTTAATAAAGGCAGGCCACCAATATCTTCGTACCTCCATTTCGCCGCATATAAAAATTTTCCTTTTTTTTTTACATAAAATGAGCTTCCAATTAACCGTGCCAAGACAGCAATTTCGAAAATGAATGTAGCTAAGTGTAAGGTTTTGTACGTGTCCATGAATGTAATGGAGTTAGATAACTAAAAATGATAGCTTTTCTCGTTTTGTTGTAGTTCTAATTTGCTTATTTTTTTTCCTGATAGTATCTGTTTATTTCCACAACTTACAGGCACCAAGATTTACACAATCGAGCATTTTCCATGGTTTTAGCCAGTACACGGTGGCTTGGTTTCCGTGCTGATGTACTTTGCGCGACATTAATAACTGCAGTGGCATTCGCTTCTGTTCTTGCTTCTCAAAACCCAGGTATCAATCTCGAAGATTCGACGGAGCTGATAACACTGACAAAGTTTATCTATGATTCATTTAGCTTTTTATCAACTCAAGTCTATGCTTGCTGATCTACTAATATATTTTAATCTATTTATCTCAGCTTTAGCTGGTCTGGCACTCGCTTATGCTATCGATACGGCAAAAATATCCCAAATCGCTGTTAGACGATATGCTGGTGTTGAGAATCTTATGACGTCTGTCGAGCGAGTCCTGGCGTACACTCGCCTCAACACAGAGCCAGGATACACCACCAAAACACTTCCTCCGAAAAACTGGCCACATGACGGTCATGTGAGTTTTAAGAATGTTTCCATGAGGTACTATCCAGACGGACCGGTAGTGCTAAAAAAATTAAGTTTTGAAATCCAGGCAAGGAGCAAGTTGGGAATCGTAGGTCGGACGGGAGATGGGAAGTCGTCCATTGTATCAGCTATTCTACGCATGCCTGAGACTGAAGGAGAGATATTCATCGATGATGTGTGTATAGAAGATATTCAACTTCAGGAATCACGAAAATGTATCTCTGTCCTCGGACAATCGCCTGTTCTCTTCAGCGGATCGTTAAGAAAAAACCTGGATCCGTTGGGGGAGTACTCAGATGACGAACTATGGACTGCCATTAAAGAGGTGAAACTCACCAGCTTGGTCGAAAATCTAGACGGTCAGCTTGATCACAAACTTTTTGAGGGAGGTGAAAACTTGAGTACTGGTCAGCGGCAATTGATATGCTTGGCTCGCACTCTGCTTAAGCGAAGTAAGATCGTTATTTTGGATGAACCGACAGCTTACGTGGATCCAAATACAGAGAAAATCATCTGGTCAACTGTGCACGAGAAATTGAATAACTCAACTGTCATTATCATTGCTCATCGTTTAAATACTGTTCGAAACTGTGACAGTATCTTATTGTTAGAAGAAGGCCAGATTGCTGTTCAGGGAACCTTTGATGCACTCGTAGGATCGCATAAGGAGTGATGAATGCGATTTATTTTCAGTCGCCGCTATGTAGTCAAAGCAAGCCCTGCAAAAGCTTTAATAAAAGCACATGTATGATAAAGTAAGGGATTAGATTCTTCCCTCTTAATTCTAATTTCAACTTATCACTTTCACCGAAGCGGAAGTTTTTTTGGTATTTAATGAAGAATAAAAATGGATCAATTGTCGCTTAAAATCTCAGTTGTGATTGGGTACTGCAATATTTAGTAAGATATCGAGGAAGTTACCTTTACTATCAATGTTGTTTTATAAGGTTGTTCCTTGAGAAATAAATATAACGTTAGGCTCAAGTCAAAGGAAATTCTGTTATAGAATCACTTAAATGAATAGGTTAACAAAGCGAGATATTTAGCGTGGAATTGCAAGTTAAAACTAGGCTAAGTAATTGTGTTTCGCATCTCTTGTTTCGCACTCAGGATAAAAACAAAGAATTTTATCGCCGTTTTCTTTTCTTTTTTTTTTTTTCTTACGTTTATTCAATTAATGTCCCACTTAGCACAAAGAGCGTAGTAGATGAGCCATTAATAATAAATAGCAGGATGACGTAGCATTTGGCAAGAAGATACACAGACCGTTAAGTGTTCGTAATGAATTAAAGCTGCACCGCCTTATCATTCGTTTCAAGAATGGGCGTCAATATGGATTTCCATGTTGTGAACTGATCTACTTTATATCACTCTTTCGTTGACGAGCATTTCATCTCCGCATGCAGTTTCAGTAAAGTTCACCCAATCGGCAATAAAACAATAGATTTATGGACTACATTTACGACAAAATACGGGTTAGAAGTCAGATAAAATGCCATGTTTTGAATAGGTAAGAAGGTAAAAATGAAATCAAATATATTTTTACTGCCCTGAGTCTACAAAAACATCAGTGGGAGTGTAAGTGACAAATGCTCTGATGACATCATATCTGAAAATTGAACATCGGAGGTCCTTGACGAGATTCATGTCGTTTCTGAGCACTTTTAGATTAAAGTGATTGACGTTTCAAAACACAAACTGTTAAGTAGAGATAAAGGTAAATATCACCGATAAAACATTCCATTTTCCTTCCTTCTTGATGAACCAGCTGCATAGCAGCTTGTTGTTGCTTATTTTTTTCTCATAGGACTGTTTACAGTTTTTTCCAAGCCTTTCCGTCAACATATTATCGAGCTGAAATCTAGTTCGAGATTTGTTTTCCCGTAAGGGAGTTTGTGGATAAGAAGCGTTTAAGGCAAAAAACGATATGAGACATTTTTCTAAAATTTCTTAAAATAAAATTGAAGCATTTTACTCAGAATTTAAACTTGCCTCGATAAAATGACTGACGATCTACAGTGTTAATGTTGAATTAATCCACAAAGGCACTGATCTTCCGATTTTTCTCAGGAACTATTTTACCTTATAAGAGTTTATCTGATTTATCGAGCTGAAATCGAGCCATTTATTTTCCTTTAGAGTTTAAGGCCAATAATCTTATGAGACATTTTCCTTAGCTTTTGTAAAACAAAGCTTAAACATTTACTCAGAAAATTAACGTGTGACTCAAACGTGAATGAACATCTGAATGTTAAATTCATTCACAAGAACACTAATTTTCCGATGTTTCTCGGGAACCATTTCAGCGTCTTAGATGTTTCAGTCTATCTGATCTAGTTTCTTTTTCATTTGAATATGTTATGGAGTAGTTGACATCGAAGCGTTGAATGACTCTTCCAATAGCGGGAAGTCCGGAATGATGAAAAAAAAAGATTCAGAGGCAATTCTTTATTATGGTGTTACGAGATAATAGTCAAATAATCTAATAGTGACTCAACCAGTTGTTTAAACATTTGATAAAGCAACTATTTTGAACTTGAAGTATCCATACGTTCAATCGACCGCCATTAGGCAGGGATTGAACTAGATATATAGTTTAGATTAAACTAGTTTAGATTAACCAAGACTGTAAACTTCATTAACGTTTTTGAAGCGTAATAGCATCTGTTCTCGTCGTCGCAAAAGATACCTCGACTTGACAACTTAAAATGGACTCTAACAGTTGATCAAATGTAGAATCAAAGTTAAAAGCATCACTTAACTGCACTTTAGTTATTTGTATAACTCAACTGCCACGTTTGATCCATGAGATGGTATAAAACAAAGAAAAACAGTGGCTCTAGCTTTATAGGTGTTTTATCTCAACTTTGATGCGCATCAAAATGTATCTAAAACTGTGCGTTCTTGTCCTTTTGCTTTCGATTACCTTCGCGAGGCCTTACCTAGGGGAGGAACAGCAGAAATTTGAAGGTTAGTTGCTATTTAAAGCCATAAACAAAGAGAAGATTTATTGGATGGGTTAGGACGATATCATTTGACCTTTTTTACACTATGAACACGACGTGCTCATTGTTGAATGAGAATAAAAAGATAGCTAACGATATCAAGGAAATGCTCAGAGTAGTTCATACAAATAGCATATCGTTTAACTGTGCAAAATTTCTTACCCAATTCCTTACCGCTATTTTATCTCGTTGGGTTTAAAGGTGCTTAACTCCCTTGTAACGTAGCAAAAGAAACAAAATATTCCAGTGTATCAAGGACATGAACAACGAAGGCAACAGCAGTAATTAAAGCAATGACATCAATAGCAACCTTTCCTTTGGATAATATTTGAATAGTATTAAGGTAAAATTATTTTTATAAAGGAGCTTCAAGGCTACTTGATCATCATCAATATGATTATCACCATTTTCTATTCACTGCTTTCTCATTTGTCTCATTTTCATAATTTTCTGTTTGAAGATCCGGAGGAGGACCTCAGCGATGACTTCATGGAAAATGGTAAAAATTAAAATTCTTTTGTCAGTAAAATAAGAACTAGTTTAATCTTGTTAATATTAGGTTTCTTTTGCTTATCATAAAGAGCGCTCATTAGGTTACATTAATCGCAGTCCCTCCTTTTCGGCGAAATCCGCCGCGAGAGTCGAAAACCTTCACGAAAAAGCGCGGAAAACTCTATGGTAATAATAAAACAACAATACAGTTCTTAAAACGCATTATACATGAGTCTCAATGCTTTTACATAAGATTTGAAGTACAAATATAAGATTAAAATTAACTACAAATTATAAGCGATTTTAAAAAGGTAAGTCTTAAGCCTGGTTTTAAAGGAATCTAAGGTTTCGGAATATCTTATAAAATCAGGAAGCTTATTCCAAAGCACAGGGGATGCACACACAAAGGATCTGTCGCCATTGGTAGAGGTTCTAGATCTTGGGACATACAGATTAATAGACTTTGAGGAACAGAGAGAGCGGACAGGTGTGTAGAGAGTTAACAGATTTGCCAAGTAATCAGGAGCCAGACCATGAAGTGCTATATAGGTATAGAGAAGCAGCTTGGAAATAAAACGATGTTCCATAGGGAGTCAGTGTAGATTAATGAGGACTGGAGTAATATGTTCAAATTTTTTTTCGTTCGTGTAATAAGTCAGGCGGCAGAGTTTTGTAGTCTTTGAAGTTTCTCTATTTCAGAAGAGGGCAAGCCTTAAAACAAGTCATTGCAGTAATCCAGTTTAGAGAAAATAAAGGCATGAAAGACCATTTCGGTGTCTTTCTGAGATAAAAATTTCCTAATTTTACTAATTTCGTGTAAAAATAATGAGCCGGAGCGACACATATTGTTATGGTGGGTGCGACATATATTGCTAATGTGGGTGCGACTTATCTTGTTAAT